GCTATGGGCTCCATATGTAACTATGACAAATTGTATGAGTAATGCATAAACTGGACCCATGTTGGTCCTTGCTTCGTTCCAGCAGATTCAATGTATCAGTCAACTCGCACGGGTGCGAGCTTGACCATCGTGCACAGCAACGAGTGCTGGGCATGTACGGTCGGTTGCCCGATGAGGTCCAGAGCAACCAGGGGTCGCGCACTTGACAGCGACATGCGGACATTCGTGAATATCCTTGCACGGTGTCGATTCGTGAGGACACGAGCAGGCACGCGTGGGGTGGGGGCCAGCACAGTTGCCACAGGTAGCAGGGCGGTGACAGTAGGCGGCGATATGTCCGGTTCGGAAGCAATTGTAACATTTGGAGGCACGGAGAACAATGTGCTCGGTGCGAAGAAGAACACCATCGAAAGCAACACGCGATGCAACGAGCTGCTGTGCCAGGCTGGCAGTGGGGACATGTATGACGAGTGACGAATGGGTTTTGGCTGTACGGAGTTCTGCGGCGCGTTTGTGGGTGAGCCAATGGCAGTTGAGGATGGGTTGATCACGAAGAACATGAGAGTTCTCTTTGGCAAGATCGGCTTTTGAGACCTCGCTGCGGGGTTTGAATGTGGTCGGGACGCCGTGTACAACGATGGTGTGTCCGTGTGCTGGCGGACCGTAGGAAATCGAGTACCCAGGCAAGCATTGCTTGACCCAGTACGACGAGTCACACATCAGGGCTCGGCGTTGATGCTGGTCGTAGACCAAAACACGGACGGAATCGTCGGGATGAAGCACCACAGCACGGATGACAGGAGTTCCGGGCTTCGCAGATAAGAGGTGCTGCAGGTGATTGTGGTTCCAGATATATTTGTGAAGCTGCATGCGAACATCGGAGGGAGGTTTGTTGATCGGTTTGGTGTGTGTGGACACCGGGTGAAGAACGATATCGAGAGACGCGTCGCGGGGGACGGCGGTCCGGATCACGTGACTATCGCGCGGTGCGCTGGCAACAACCCTGGTCGGGGGAGCATGTAGCTCCGGGGAAGGGCTTGGTGAGGGGCTATTCGTGAGGCTGTCGACTTTGCTGGTGAGGTTATCCAGTTGGGCCTTGATGGCTAGGAGTTCAGGCGAGGGGGTTGATGGAGGAGATGGGAGGGCTTCATGTTGGGCGAGAGACGTGCGGAGTTCAAGACCGAGGGAAATAATCTTTTCTAGTGTGGTAGTAGATACTGAGCGAGTCTTGGGCGTAGTGCGGCTAGTGAGGGGAGCAGTAGGTAAGTCTAGAATAGTGTCGCAGAGGGTCTCAATGAGCAGTTTCATAGGGGGTGGTTTCGACATGGTGGTGGTTGGTCCTTTTCAGGTTCAATTTAGATGGGTCTGTCACCCAAGACTACAGGAGCACCAACCTCCAAACGTGCACATTGATAGATGCTGGCAACAGAGGTGTAGCAGGACGTCCAGTTGAGTTGGGCGGAAGGAGTGATCTATACATCCGTCAGTCCCAGATCAAGCGGGTTCTGGATAAGCTAGTACATACACTCGACCAACTAAAGTCGTCAAAACACGTTTGCGCATTAGTCTGCGCAACTAAATAGACGAAGAAAGGCAGTAGAAGAAGGAGTGGAACCATAGGAAGGCGAAGAATTGGTACTTTGTTGGAGTAGCACGAAGGTGCGTTCCTTCTTATACAACGACAAGAATAGCAGTTAACAAGCGTACTCATTCAGTCGTCGCGGTGCGACTGTATGATTCGTGGACACCCCGTCGTTCAACACACACAGCTCTTTGCACCGCTTTGTTCCACGCGCAGCGCCAATGTACCACGACGGCATCGACCGCCGTTTCTCGCTGGAGTTGTTCATCCGACAAGAACAAGTTAGTCGTCGCGATGTGCGACTCTCGACCTCGGTGCAAAAACATTGTACCGAAAGCGCCGTCTCTCGAGGAAGAGGGGCTTCTGGTCGTTGAGACCCGAATGTGCCATCTCGGCGCTTACTATCGTTGTCGCGTGAGCGGGGCGCGCAAAGTGACGTCCGGCTCTGCGTGTAGAATTGAGACGCGTGACCCATCGTGTTGCGAGCAGCTGTAAGCGTTGGCCGGTCACCGGTCACCCTTTGAAACCCCAGTACTACCGCTGGTGCCCTCTGTTGACTAAAGGTCCAATTAAGGCCCTACAGCGGCTTTGATTTGAGTTCACAACTGACGCGAGACATTGAGAGTGTATGTCCCTACTGGCTAAGTAGGCCAGCGCCGGACGGCTCGTCCATACTCCTCGACTCGCATTGAGATCCATCCTCCAGCGAGATTCAGGGAACTGATATCCCGATCAAAGCCGGATGACCGTCAGGCGGAATGAGGATACAATACTGCTTGGCCCCGTAGACGATCTCGAGCTAATGCTGACGACGATGGCCGGATTTCCAGAGAGGCACTGCCCGATAGGAATGCATCAAGATCCAGCGCAGAGCCTCATACTGCCGCAGTCAAGCGCGTAGAGCTTCGGCCTATTAGTGGCTTGGTGCACCTAAGAGGGCCTGAGAGGTGAGAGCAGCACATGACCAAGTATCGGACAGGGACGAGGTAGGCTGTAGTGGGTACGTTTGTCTAAGTTAGCGGCGACATCAATGCCAACACTAACTTGGAAGTACTCACTCGAGCTTGTCCCCGTCACTCTTCTCGCCAGACGGCGTTAACACGCGACGCGCGTCGGCTTCACACGATATCCGACATGATCCGGTGCTTACGAGTGTAGATGGTGTTCACGCGTCACGGTTGGTTCACGGCGCCGATAATCTGCGCGGTCTGCAATCCGGGAAGAACAACATAATCTTGCACGCTTGCACGGAATGGTCACGCTGGAACGTGGCACCGCCTAAGTAACGCGCGAGAGCGGTCGTGACACCCTCCTCGAGTTCACCTGTAATGCGGGCTGCCGGGGAGCCCAAACGCCCTACAGTTGACTCCTGCGTAGCCGATGTTTGCGAGTCCGTAGGGAAAACCCTGCTTGAAAGGAACGCAGCCCATGAGCGAGCGCCGACTCTCATTGAACGTCATCTGCCACGGCGTAGCCTCGAACGACATGTGTGCAGCGAGAGCGGGTGCGTGATAAGCGAGAGCTAGCCGCCGACGCCCATGTTAATCGCGCAGAAGGGCTGGGTGCGGCAATGGTGCCCGGCGTGGACGTCTTCAGAAGCCTTCTCTACAAAAAGCATTGAGCGTCAAGGTGTCCTTGAGCGGACGCGCAAGGTCAACACTCCTGATAATGTCGCCGATGCTGTCCCTGTCCGGTTCATCTTCGCGTAAATGTGCCGATGACTGGCGAGGATGCGCTTAAGTGGATACGCGAAGTGGCCTCAACGTCGACTCGTTACCCAACACAGATACACTGCCGAACGAAAATCGGCGTCATGTGGACCTATAGATCCAAAAGCAGCGTGATCTCACTCGATTCACCTGAGCACAACGGTTGCTTGGCGATGGATGTCAGCGTAGCATTACAGCAGTGAACATACAAGACCCCTCGACTGGTCGTGAAAGAGGCTCGTTCTGAGGCAATTCGATCTCGCCGATCTCGGCGCACGCGGGCAGATGAGGTTTGAGCATGTCATGGGTGAATGCGAGATGATAAAAGAACAACAAGATGATACAGGAGCAGAAATCCACCCATTACTCGTCGGGAACCTCAATCTCGCCCTCGTTGATGGCGTCGATGATATCGTGCGGGGGTTTTCCGTCAACGGTGCAGCCGACCGACTGTGCGGTGCCAAGAATCTCCTTCGCGACACCAGAGAGCTCCTTCGCGAGCGACTTGGAGCGCATTGTCCGTGCAATCTCCCAGATCTCGTCGAGCGCGATGTTGCCGGAGTGCTTGATGTTCTTCTCCTTCTTGCGGTCACGGGGGGGCTCTGCAATAGATTGGTATATTGTGGACGTAATCTAAGTGATATAACGCACCCTTGAGAGCCTTGATCACAAGGGAGGAGGCGGAGGGAACGACGGAGACGGCCGCCTGACGGTTTTGGATGGTGAGCTGCACGGTAACGCGCAGGCCCTTCCATGCGGTCGTCGCCTTTGCGATATCTTCTCCGACCTTCTTGGGTGACTATGCATCACATATCAGTATAGTGTCCATATCTATAGTGCCAATGTACGCACCAAACCAAGAGGGCCGATTTTTGGCGCAAGTGCCGACGACGCACCGACCTCACCACCCGTCGCCCGCAGGTAGATGATCTTCACTTCATTCGGGTCCTATATCATCCAGAATATTAGTAGACCGTACGGACATAGATTCTGCCTGCCACGCACGAATTTAGGGGCCATTTTGTGCTGAGCGTCGTCGACGTCGTGCCAGTACTGATTGTCGTTAGCTCACCTCCGGCAACTCGCGGCCGTGGCAAAACTGCTCAGTTCTCGCGTCTGCACGTGTATCCGGCGATTGCCGGGTGATCTCGGCTTTCGGACCGCGTTGATGCGCTGATGCGTTGTGGCGAACGCGAGGCAAACGAGCCCATCAACGACGACGACGACGATAGCAGCGGCGAGCGTGCAATGGGTGGATGGCCGCCGATGAAGAAAGGGTCGGCCTACCCGCCAACTACCAGGATGCAGACGTAGACCACATCTGCCAGCTTCTCGGTGGGCAGCTCTGATGGCCGTCCTTCTCCGCTCAAAGCCCCTAATTATTTGACATAGCCATTATGTTCGAGCGTCTGACGAGTATCAATGACCAAATTCAACTCTCACCGTACGCACCACCTTCTAGATCTCCTACACGTCGCGATCTGAGCCCACAAGTAGAGAACATATCACTCGCTTTCACTCTGCCAATGTACCACCCATCCCGATCATTGACTACCTCCGACGCATCGTTCGCTTCACCAATGTTGAGGTGAGCGTCAAGCTTCATAAAGTCCGAGCGCATGCTCACATATCGCAGAGGACGTGTCTCCTCAGCATCATGCACTACATCGACTTGATCTGCTCCCGTCTTCCCAACTTCACTCTTTGCTCGCTCACGGTCCACCGCATCATCATCACCGCCGTGACATGCGGAAGTAAGGCGCTCTGTGACGCCTTCTGTACCAACTCTCACTACGCACGCGTTGGCGGTCTGCCGCCTCTCGAGCTCGCGCGACTGGAGATCGACTTCCTCGCCGCCATTGACTGGCGCCTCGTGGTTAGTGTTCATTTGGTCACCCGTTCGCTCATGTCCCTACAACTTGCGTTTAGATGTCATGCAACCGCATCGATGCTTTCCTCCCTCTCATCTTCCTTTGTTTACGATTGTTGACACGCCTTGTCAGTGTACACGCGAAGTGCTTCAAGTCTACTACGAGAACCTCGCCCTGCACTCTGGCGACCGCTTCTATATCACGTCGTCGGACGCCACTGAATCCGACGCCGACAGCGACGTCGAGCTCCTCGCCGAGTCGCGCTCTCCGTCCCCATCAGAGGCTCCTGCCTCCGCCATCGTCACCGTCAGCGCTTCGCCGGTCGTTTTGACCGCTCAACTATCACCGGAGCAGCGGCGTTCCAGCGCCAATCCCGCCCCGCCGCCGACTATCGAACAAGAGGCGGCTTTTGAGCAGTTCAAACGGAGCACGCGGTCATAGGCAGACCAATTCCCGTTGTGTGTATTGTTAGTTGTAATCTCGATTCGCCCTACTGCGAAAGTACTTGAATCCATAGCCCTCTCATCTCTAGGGTGTTGGCACTATTGCCCCATCCCGCCCCATACCTGTCCCAGCCTCTTGTACATATACCCATCTATACCGTGAGCTTGTATTTATGTTATAAGGAGTCCCAGCCACTGTACGTTCGAAGCGGAAAGGCCATGATATCACGTATGACCGAGCACGTATGACGCGCACCGACGCTTCGACCGTGGTGCCACACCTTGAACACCAACCGCCACGAAGCTTCTCAAACGCGCGCTCGGCGCCATCCTTGTCTTCCGCATACCGCGCAACCTGGCGAGGAACTTCTCTGGGCGCTCAATGGATGACTCGCTGTGCGTTGACTGGTCGATGTTTGCGGATTCTGACCTTTGACGCCTCACTTTCCCACAGTTCACGGCCATGGTTTCCCGAGATACCATCTCGTATACAAGCGGTCAACGACACCATCACGCTCGGCAAGGTGGACTCGGCATTCAAAGCGAAGATGGATCGAGATATGAATGGACTTGATGCCGCTCTTCGGCAGCTGCGCGCAACACGCAACGCTTGCAATCCCTGCTACAATCACCACTGGAGATATTGGGAGAGACCTCAGAAACCTTCTGCTGGGTCGCCCGCATCTCTGGGCCCACAACATATTCTCCTCCAATAAGTCCTTCGAAGGAGTGCTTCCTCGCTGTCAGAGTCTTCCTCTCAGCATCAGCCTAGCACTAGGCGAGCAAACTCTCAAACCATTTGAACCCGGAATGGTTCATCGTGCGCAACATGGCTCGTTGCCGCTCTCTCACAATCCAAGAGGGTGTTCCGGACACCGGAACGGACAATATACTATCCATGCTGGGCGCTGGATTGTACTCGCGGACACTATTCCTACACCTCGAACAGCCAACTTTGGAGCGACGTCATTCCTCTACCTCGCCAGCGTCCACGAGGCACATCTCTCCGGAGATCAACGAGCTGCCCGAAATTTACGCTCCTATCCTAACTTCTGCATATCTCAAGAAAACGTTGATTCCTATCCCCCCGTCTCGTTTAACATATCTTCGGTTGGACTTTACCAGTACCCAAACCATCGAAACCCCCTACAATCTTGCCCAGTTCTGGAATATACGTGAGCGGTGCCAGGAGCTTCGGTTTTTGAGAGTCACATCATGCCTATCGATGGAAGGAGTATCTGCTGGCTCGACTTTGACCCTTCCGGCGCTCGAATTGCTTTGGGTGATGGACAACGTCGCTCGTGCTCTCGCTCTCTGGAACTGCCTCCGCACACCGAAGTGAAACAGCTCAAGATTCGAGTTTCTCACCGTCGACCAAACACTTCGAGGCCTAGGATCGGAGCTAATCTTCGTCAAACCGCTACTGAAAGCAGCGAATGCCCACACCTTGACCGGGATAAGTATCTCTGAAGATCATCTCGAATCTCGATGCGGGCTTGGTCTACTGGCTCCCGGCTCGAGATGCCACTACGACGAGGAATACGTGTGGTTCGGGCCCTTCGCGGATGGTCATAGCGAGCGTCTGCTGCTCGAGATCGAGCAAGCCGGTTGTCATCCGCCCCACCTAAGAAACATTTTCTTCATAGTCGCCAACAGCATCAATTGTGACGCTATAGAAACACTCGACCTTGAGATAACGGCAGAATACGCGGTTGCGGCATGGCTCGTGCATTTCAAACCATTCCAGAACGTCGCGACTCTTCATGTCGACGATATGGCCAGAACGACAGTTCTAGTGGCCCTGCGGGCGTCAGGATCATTTCCGCCTCCGCTCCCGCGCTTGCACTGGCAGTTCCTCTGGATATCAGCCCTTGATCTTCAAGAACGACCGTCGCAGGTCGATCCTCCCGGCGCATCTGACGATGATGCTTTCGATCGTCTGCGCTTTGTTCGGATGCTCTCTTTGCGACGAAGGGCTGGGGTGCCACTGAAGCATTTGCGTATCAACTCGTTGATCATGGATCCTCTTGCGAGTTGCTACCGCGCTTAACGGCGCTTGTGCCGCTTGTGGAAGTGCTGGAGACGCTTGCTGAGCCTCCGCGCACTACAGGTAGGTTCGCATACGGACCTCGAGGTGGTTTACTTGCTAACGTGGTTTGCTAGGTGTGCAGAACGGATAGGACGTGCACTCTCATTGCTTGTAGCCGCATCCTACATGCGAAGGTCTCGGCACACTTGATCAGGATCATGAACTTTATGCTGGCCGTGTAGTTGTATGACTCTCTACGTACTATAGTTACCATACAGAACTCATCTGCACCTGAGGGCGGCTGTGAACTCATATTAATAAACTGAGGAATGATGTTTACCCATGTTTGCGCATGCTGAACCTCGGCCTCATCGGCGGACACGTGCGCGACTTCCGGTCCGAGTCCTGCCGAGTTCGAACCACCATCATCTCTTTGAGGCGTCAACGTAGGTCTATATACCTGTAGGCATGCCGTGTATACCGTCTCTGACTGTCCAACTGTAGTAATGGAGCCATACCAATTCCCGCAGGTCATGGCCAGCGTGCGGAAAACGGACGATGCAATCACTACTGGCCACGCTTCGAAACAGCTCGCGGACACAATCGACCTACAGCTATCGGAGCTGGAGGTAGCATCTCGGCAGCTACGCTCCTCGCGCAATGCTTTCCAGCCACTCCTGCGTCTTCCAATAGAGACATTAGGAGAGATTGCCGAGATCCTTACCACAATCTGGCCCTCGTGTAGCGGTTATGCGCCTTTCAATGCCAGCCTAACCCGCGTTGTCCACGAGCCCAAGGACCGGGATCTCAAACTCGGCTGGATTCTACTTGGACACGTCTGTCGGAGGCTCAGGCAGTCTGTACTCTCACGCAACGACCTCTGGGCGAAGAATATTTGTAGTATATCTTACTCACCGGAAACAGTACTCCCCTACTGTCACAACGCTCCACTCGACATCACTATCTCACATTACAACCGGAAGACCGATCCTGGTCCGCCCTCTTCCTGTGCGAGCTTCATCGTCAAGAACATGGAGGCTGCACGTAGCATCTCGATACGAGAGAGGGTGCCGTGGGCCCCGAACGCCATTTTTGCGCACCTGGACCCAGCCGTGTTCTCGTCAACCACCTTTACAAGACTCACGCAGCTCATGTTGTATGCGGACAAGGTCTCCTCGCGCCTAGATCAACTCGCTTTGACGCAGGACATCTTTCTATTGCCTGAAATGGTAGCACCTCAACTTCGCACGCTAAGTCTGACGAACTACATGCTACCTTTCGACTCATCTACATTGGCGAGTCTCTCGATTGAGTTCACGCAACCGAACTACCTACACACGCCTACCGCATTCCTAGCTTTACTCCGGCGCTGTCAGCAGCTGCGATCTCTCGAGCTAAAAGGATGCGTACCATTGCTCCCAATGAACGAGAACGAGACGATCTCTCTCCCATTGCTCCGATACATACACATCCATGATTCAATTCGACGGTGCATCGGGTTCCTGGCCCGTGTAAACACGTTTAACGCAACATCTCACCGCATCGTGGCCAACAAGGCTGCGACTGAATACCCCGGGTCTTACACTTTCTTCGACGACATCGCACTTCAATTTCAAACTCGACTCCACAATACCCCGATAAGCGGGTTGAAGATCTACTTCGACATCTGGTCCTGTGGGTTCGCCCTTTATCAGCCTGGGCTACCCAATGATCCTTCCTACGAGGACTCCGGCCCATTCGTTGACTTTCACGAGCAGTTACATTGCTGCTTCGCGCACATTCGGCGCCATGAGCCGATACTTCCACACATCTTCGCGTCGCTGCCGAACGTCGTCGATCTTGCCGCCATCAATATCCTCTCGATTGACAGTGCGAAACACGTCTCGTACGATGCGACGTTTTGGTCTACCGAACTTGCGCGCGTTCCAGCCGTAGAGATGCTCTATCTGGCGGACATGGACTGTACGGCAGCACTGTTCTCTCTTGCACCCGCCGGTCCTGGACAGGATGCCATTTTGCCACGCTTGAATACTCTTTGGATGGAAGTTCTTGACTTCAGAGAAGAGCTGGGAGAGGGGGGGAGGAACGGCCCGAATAGCTCTCAGTTCCTTCAGATACTGTCGTCACGGTCGCACAGTGGAAGGCCGATCAAGCACTTGCGCATTGATCTGCTTCTTGTTGCGGATCCCGAGCAGGCTTCTAGAGTGTTAGTACCACGCTTAAAGGCCCTCGTTCCGCTCGTGGAGGTCGCGGAAGTCCTACAGAGGAATCCTGACACGGGTATGTCGCTCTGATTGTGATGCATCAATGGGCCCCACGAACTCATATGTTGACAGAATGGGATGACGAGTCGCTCAGGGCGCCTGATGCTGACTCTGAGGATACCTGAAGACGGACGGACATGCATAGCGCCTTAACTCAGAGAGCGCGCCGGGCTGTATACACTTATTCAATATATTTGTCTTTCATCCATATTCATACGATCCGACGTAAGCATCGACATCGAACATTCAGAACAGCCAACCGTCCGGATCCATGTGAAAGTCTAGCTGCTTTCAAGTTCGGACCGCGTCCATCGTTGGCCTGGCGGCACAGAGCCACTCAATGGGCCTGTTTTTTGCTTGCCGACGTCTGCTGGCGACTTGCGAAGTGAACGCCATCGGGTGCAGATATTTGCGTCTGACCCGGACCGAAGATTCTCACGATGTCCTAGCGTGTTCCGCCGGGACCGCCTTTTACCTGAACCGTCATCTGGTAGACGGCCCGGTCGCGCACTCGGATTGTATGCATGCCAACAAGACTCGAGCCCGAGGTGAATATGCTTGACTGCCAAGTCAAGGACTGGGACTCATCCGCGCCATGTGAACAGCGTTGAAGAACCCAACATACTATGAACGACGCGTCCCGGTTCCCGGAAGCCTCGGCTCTGATCCGACAGGCAAACGATGCAGCTACTGCAGGACGCCTCTCACCTCAGCTGGAGCAGAGGATTGACGAGGATATCCTGGAACTGGAAGGCGCGCTCCAACAGCTTCGTGCTGCACGCAATGCTTGTCGGCCGCTGCTCCGTCTCCCATTGGAGGTGCTGGGCGAAATCGCTGAGATATTGGTGTCGATCTGGCCTGCCTACACCGGCTACCCGAAATCGACTGTGATTGGATTTAGCTTTGACTACTCCACACGTGGTCCTGGTTTAAAGCTTGGCTGGGTGCTATTGGGACATGTGTGTCACAAGCTGAGAAGCGCTCTTCTGGCGCGCACCGACCTATGGGCGCAGAATATCTGCAGCCTATCCCGAAAAGCGAACGCGCTGCTATCTTATTGTGGCAGCGCTCTTACTCATATCGACATGTTGCACGACATCAAGGGATACGCGGACTACATTCCCTCATCTTTCATTGATCTTGTTGTGAAGTGTTTACCAACTTCACGCATGATCTCAATCAAAGAGCGCGGTCGCCAGGACAATAGTGGAGCCTCGATGCTGAGAAGTATCAAACCCTCGACGTTTTCTGTCGTACCATATCCTCATCTCGAGCACCTATCACTCCAGTCGGATATTCAGCCGAACCAGAGTCGAGCCACTCGTGTGCTGACGCTTCCAATAATGGTGGCACCCTTGCTACGCTCGTTACACCTCAAGAACTATACCCTTCCGCTGGATCCGTCCGGCCTGACGAGCCTCACCCTCGAGTTCAACGAGCCGACGTACTTCCTTAGTTCCGGTGCTCTTTTAGGAGTACTTCGTCGGTCTCCCCAGCTCATCCAACTCAAATTACACAACTGCATCACAGAGTTGCCGCAGAAGGCCGAAGCTGGACCTGTGCCTATGACACAGCTCGAAACTGTTGACATAAAGGATACGCTCCGCCGATGTGTCGGCATTCTATGCCACCTGGCTTCTCCCACTTCCACCCAGTACACCTTACGCATCGACAATACGACCGATGCGCAAGAGCCCACGCATCTCGAACCGCTTGTGCCCTTTCTCCAGACCAGGGATACCCCTTCAATGACCGGCCTTGGTCTCTTTATGGGGTCGACGGAGAGCGGATTCGCGCTCTATAAGTCGGCTCCGCTCTCAGTCTCAGGAAAACTTCATTACTCCGGACCCTCTCTGTTCTCCGCTGGACATGGCTACCACGAACAAGTGCATATCACCTTTACCCATGGCACGCACGACGGCGGGACGCAGGTTCAGCGAATTATCAACTCCCTCTCGACCGCGACGGATTGCGGCACAATCGAGGCGCTTGGGATCATCTTGTGGTCTGGTAGTGTGTCATATAGCAGTGCCTTCTGGAAAAGCATCTTTGCGCACTTCCCCGGCGTCGCCACTCTCTCTATCGCTTTTATGTGGAATTATGCCGCGCTATATGATGCCCTCGCAGTGCCGTTTAGTTTTGGACACTCCTCGGATGTTCAGGACGATATCATGCTACCGCGACTGAGCTACTTGTGGCCGGACGTGCTCGATCTGCGAGCAACGAGTCTCTTGGGTCTCACGAGCACGCGCTTTCTGCGTATGCTGTCTTCGCGCTCGCAGGCCGGCAAGCCGATCGGGCGTTTGCGCACCGGTATGCTACTGGTGCAGGACCCAGTAGAGGCACGAGAAGAGCTCGTACCAAGCATCGAAGAGCTAGTGGAGCTCGTTGAGATCGATGAAGTGGATGAGAGACACCCTGACACTGGTGTGTACACGCTGACGCTCTTTCTGTGAATCCTGCCCTCGGATGGCTAACTGCTTCTTTGCGCAGACATCGGGGGATCGGATTCTGAATCCTCAGACTCCGACGATGATTGAATGTCAAGCACGGCGTGAAGTTTGACGGGATGGCGAAGCTGTGTCGCAAGGGACTCAAAGCTTGCGGGATCCATTTAGTCCACGGCTGCGCGCTCGCAGTGCATGTATTGTACAAGATGTACATGAAGATAGATACAGTTTGCGTCCCCAATGAGACCCGTTGCTCATCAGCAGCAAACCAGAGGCGTCCTGCCGATGACACGCATATACGGAGGGTTCGGATCTCGAATTGTCGGAATACTAAGCACGACGTCGCACATGTATTAGATCGGTCGAAAGCCCGAAAACATCGATATCAAGGCCGCGCGCGAATGATGGTACATGATTTCACAACCACAGAGTCTAAAAGTACAGCACAGAGAAAAGACGGTGCAACAAAGAACGCAGAAAGCGTGCGCGCGAGATACGGATAGAGTGTTTGTGCCGAGACCGGAAACGAGAACGAGAGAACTGCAGCAAGCGTCGGCGAGCGGTTGAAAGCGGCACAGCAGTGGGCAGAGCGTCTGTGAAAGAGCTCGTCAGGACGGTTATCGCGCGATGGTTGAGGGAACGGCTTACCACAGCGTGAACAACAGATCGAGCATGGCATAAAATATCGAGCCCCTTCCTCCGAAACCTCCGGGGTATATGATTCTTTCCCTCTCCCCATTGCGTCCATCCCTCCTTGACTATCGCCATCCACCTCTCCGGGGCTGGTCTACCCTATGCCCTCCCAGCCTTGGCCCTAGCCCAAGCAACCCTCTCGAAGCTTTCTCTAACCGGTGCTCTCCACGCCAGCACCGTCGCATGTGTCTGCACATACGGCGCAGGTAGCAGAGCATGGATTCCACCAGCTTCACCCTCCTGCGGCGCAGGCGGGAAGCGCACGGTCTGTATGGACAGCTGTTGCCGCGCGTGCCCGCGTGATGGGAGGGAAGCGAGAGACGACAGAGCAGCAGATGAAGCGGACACGGCGCTCAGTGTGCGCGTACGATCGTGGCCCCGACCTGCAAAAGAGGATCCAGATGTCGAAGTTGGTGTAGGTGTAATGGACGATACGGAGTTCCTCGCAGGTAACGTAGCAACGCTCCTCGCACTCGCACTGCTCGTCCTCCTAAACTGTACCGGCCCATGCGTGCTACTCGGCGTGGACCCCTCCTTCGCGCTCCCGGGCGTCGACGGCGGCGGCGTAGCCAACTGCGCCTGCGCCGCGGCGGAACTGATGGTCAAAGGGGCGACAGCGCCCAAGCCGTGCGAGTTGCCGCGGATAAGCGGATGAGGACGGAGGAGAGGCCCGCCGTGGTCTGAGATGATGGATGGGGGGCGAGTGTGGGAGTGGCGCTTTGAGCGGTGGTGGGTGTGTCGCGAGGGGGGGTCGGGCGATGTCGGGGTGGTGGGCTCTGTGCGGGCGTGGAGGTGCGGAGGGGAGGGCGTGCGCGGTGGAGGTTGGGATGTGCGTGTGCTTGTTGTTGTTGTGGGCGATTGTGATGGTTGTGTGGTGATGATCGTCGGGCTGGCTTTGGACTGCGCGGATCCGTTCATCTGCATCGCCGGGGGTGTCGTCGTCTCGCCTCTTGGCGTCTCGACTGGTGGACTGGTCGCAGGGCCGGCACTCATATCGGCCGGGTTCAGCCTCAGCTTCTCCAAATTTGGCAGTTGTTGGTGGGGTGGGGGCGGGGGAGAGACGGGCGCATGTTTGTTGGGAGTGGTTGCGCCGCTCTCAGAGGATATCCACTCGCCATCGCTGTCATCTTCGTCGTCGTCTGACCCGCTCCCATCCCGCGATGCAAGCGTGAAGCCGGCCTTGTGTTTGCCGTTGCCGTTGCCGACGGCCCCGTTTGCGGATGTCTGTCGGGCACGAGGTGGGGGCTGGCGCGGGGCCAGGGCCGTCAAGTTGTCTCGGCTAGCTACGCGAGCGGAGCTGCTCGTCCGACCGAGCGTAGATTGCACTCGAGTAGCAGACTATCACAACATATCAGTAATTATCCATGAGATGTATAGATATGCAGTTACGCACATGTTGGCCGACAGACGATCGCTTGGACCTATCGCTCTTGGTAGTAATCACGCTCGGCGCATCCTTCTGCGTAAAGTGCAGATTAAGGCCGACTTTGGAGCCAGAGCCGTTACTGCTAGCCGTGCGAGTGTGAGAGTGTGTGCGTTGGAGAGCGCCTGGGCGAGACGAGCGAGTTGATTTGGTGGTCATGGTCGTTGATAGTGGTGGAGAGGAGGAGACAACGGGCGGCGGCGTGACCCCTGATCGGCGACGTCCGCCGGTGCCGAGTTCCGGCCCGGTCCCGGTCCAGTTAGACGCGCCTTTTTTCCAACGCGCCACAACCTTGCACTCCAACACTCAACATGGAGAGGGTACAGTTCCAGCAGGAGCAGGTTCGTATACACTCACAAAGAGTAGGATAATTGTTTAACTATGCATCTAGATGCTCCCTGAGCTCAAAGACCTCGTTCGCAAAGGTCTCTTCACCAAGGTCCATATCCCTGCCTTCATACTCTAGCAAGCATCTGACCCTGCTTTTGCACCAGGAAGAAACGAAACAGATCCTCCGCCAGCGCACGACCTACGAAATAGCCCTCGTCCGGCGCATCCCCAACAAAAACGACTTTCTGCGCTACGCGTCCTACGAGATGTCGCTCGAAACTTTACGCCGCAAACGGGCTGCACGGTTGAACGTCAGAGGCGCACCGAGCATATCCGACTACGCGCTACAGAGGAGACAACTACATATATTTGAGAGGGCTGTGAGCAAGTTCAAGAGCGATCTGGGCTTGTGGCTCGACTATCTGCGTACGGCCCAACGGCTCGGTGCGCGCGCGTTATTCGGGAGGATCGTAGCGCGCGCAACGCAACTCTATCCCCGCGCGCCGGCGCTATACGTTCTTGCCGCTCAACACGAGCTCAGACATCTGGCGCCAGGTGCTGCACGTGCGCTGTTGCAGAGAGGGATCAGGATGTGCGGGGACCGGGTGGAGATGTGGAGGGAGTACGTGAGGATGGAGATCGGTTTCGTCGAGGCTATGAGGAGGAGATGGGGCGTCTTGGGCATCGCACCCGGCGAAGGAGAGAAGATGGACGTTGATGAAGAAGAGCAGCCGAACGAGGCGGCACAGCGCGCTATCCTCGCCGGTGCCATCGTCGAGGAAGTCATCGCGTCCGCCGCGAAGGCCTTGCCCAAGCTTGAACTCTTCGCTGAGCTCGCACGCGCCATCCGCGCGTACCCATGTCCCGCTGCACTACGAGAGTCACTGCTCGATAAGCTCTACGCCGAACTCGCCCTCACGCTGCCCGATGCACCAGGCGCTGTGCGCATGCACGCAACGCGCGCTCTGGACGCATTCATCGACCCTGTCGCGTCCACAGAGTCCAACGAAGTGAGAACACCATTCTCCGAACTCAACGGTATGGACTCTGGCGACGTGAAGGGCAAGGGCAAGGAAAAGGAAGTGCCGAACCTGCAGAGCGAAGCATTCGTCGACGCGTTGCGTGCCGCCAACGAGGAGCTCGCGTCAAAAGCAAAAGGCAATGCAGGCGTCGCACGCGCGTACGCCGCGTTTGTCGAAGAGTGGTGCGGAAGGGAGATTGAGGATAACTTGGTGTGTACTCATAGCGTCTCGTAAGGTGTGGTATTGACACTACTCTACAGAAACTATACTTGGTCGCCTCCCTCGGCGCACTGGCCCGCATCAAGAAAAACCATCCACCACCACCCGCCTCACTCCTTGCTGCCCATCTCCGCCTCAGCACCTCTCTCCTCGACACCGCAAATCCTCCTCTACCCGCCGGAAAATTGCGCTCGGCCGCGCGCAAATACGCCGTCGCGCGCCCGCATTCACCTGACGTCCAGCTTGCTCGTCTAAACGCTGAGAAGGCCGCAGGTGCGAGTGATGATGACTTGAAGGAGGCTTGGAAGGATGCCAGGAGAGGTGTTGGTGCCGGTGTCAAGATGGGGAGTGCTGGTGAAGAAGAGAGTGAGGAAGGGGAGTGGGAGGAGATGAGGAGGAAGGTGTGGATCTGGGGTCTGGAAGAGATCGGCGAGGACAGTACGATACTCGAGGTATCTATGCATGTTATTGTGCGAGTGAACGCTTCACTGACAACTATGTTGTACAGACACTTCTCCGAGAATCGCTCACGGACCCCCTTCTCCGACCTACACATGACGCACTTCTCATTCGCTACGCCCTTCTCGCTCATCGTCAATCTCAATCGACAACAAAAACGACTCTTGACCGTTTGGCGCGTCTCTTCCTGCCCACATCCTCAACGTGGGCCTCCATATTCGAAGTGCTCGCCGACCAAGACACTGCAGATGCTGACACGCTCTACACCACTCTATCTGCTGCTCATGCGCAATGGAAAGCGGCGAGCGGAGGTACGGACGCTGCGATACGATGGGCGGCCTGGTTATTGGAACATGGCAAGGGCGCAGAGGCGTTGGTTGTTGTCAGGGCAGCCGGGAAGGAGGCGGAAAGGAGATGGGCCGGGATGCTGGCTGAGAGGGAGGAAAGGACGGAGGACGATGTTGGGGAGGAGGAGAGGGTCGTAGAATTGGAAGAGATCGAGGTCGCGTAAGGTGATATTGCACTGTGTACGACGCAATCTCAACTGCTCCCTTCTACCATGCTGCCACTTGAACGCATTCACTGGCCGATGTGATGTCACCTGGTGGCCCATTGTGGCGGATGTTCTTCATCACGACATCTGGCGTGTCTGCACCCTTGCGCACGTCGATCTCAGCACGACTGCGTGTTACGGGAGCGATAGCCTGTTGCTACCTCAGACACACCTGCGCCAGCCTACAGCGCTATTCCGGGCCGAAGTACGACTGCGGTGGTCTACTGTCGTACCTTTGGATGCACCCTTGAAAGCTTGAACCACTCTCCGCCTCTCATCTGACAAGCCAGAAGAGCTCTCGATCCTTGGTCTTCTTACTACGATCCCCGCAACAGCTTACGCAACGCAGCAACTATAGCCTTTTATATTTGTTGCTATCTCGAGCACCAAGCCCTTCAGTAGCCAGCTGTTCCCGTACACTGCGGCGTTCTATAGACGAACTCGATCGCGAAGGGCTTCACATTGAACCGTTGTTCCTCCGACCATCGCATCTCCCGCTGCCGTGTCTCTCGTCACTATCCGAGTCTCGCACCAAGCACAGTATGGCGCATCCCATGCAGTATCCAGTACTGATCATGATACCGCATCGCAGTACACGTACGGCTGTCGATAGGCGTCTTCCAGTCTGGATATCAGAATACGCCAGATCACATTCACTCGCGATCACTCGTATCAGCTGGCTATCTAACCACACGGCACCGAAGTCATGTTAGCTCGTAGCTCAAACCCGAATGCGGCACACTCCACCGAATTGGCCTTGTGCTATGGACACTCGATGCAAGCTATGAACGGCGCCACATGGCGCGATCTGCCAGCGTGGCTTCTGAAGTTGACTTGGCTTTGTACAGCGGATCGAGTACGCCGTTCGAACTTCCCCGATATTTGACAGCTCTGCCAGACTTTTCTCCGCGGACAGTCGCCGACTCCATCGTCGTTTGTCCGAGGGCTCCCTGTTCTCGGTGGCGCGAGTGGCTGCTCGGGTCAATCGGTATCGTGTGCTTCTGCTTTTTCCGTCAACAGTCGCCGGTTTATCGCTGTCGCTTCGCAGGCTTCTTGGACTTGTGCGGGTCCCGATGTTGACGCTGAACATGGCTCCATCGAGCTCTATTCTGCAACGTGCCCGCTGCAATCGGCTGCTTTGTGGCATCCTGAGAGTAGCTGCTGACTTGCTATCATGCGTAAGTCATCAAGCCCCAGTCATTCTCCGCCGCCGTTTACCGTCACCGATCGCAACCCTGCAAGACGCCGTTCATGATCAACGAAAGAAGCCCTTCTGCAACTGTGGACAAAGGTCACGCGTACGATCTATGCAGCAAGTATAGCTTCTGGGCGGCCTCGTTCGGTCAGTCGCGCATCATGTTGCGTTCGCCCCGTATGGATGCGGAGTACTCACAACTGCGCAGATGCACGTTTGGTGACTTCGCCATCGTCAAGTGTCAGGCAAGTCTAAGATCTAAGGTCGAGGGTGATCATGACGCGTACCGTACGGTGTGCGTTGATATCTCCGTCACCGCTACCCGCGACGGCCGACTGTCAGATTGAGATGAGGGCTAAACTGCGGCTCGGCGCCGCCCACCGCGGCGTCGTTATGGAAGTCCTTTGGTAAGGCCGTTGAATGGTCTGCCAGCATCGCCGCTGCTTGTTCGGGTAAAGGATGGACGGTCCACCGCGGAGTGCCGTCAGGCTGTGGATGAGCAGGATACCATGACGAACGCAGCGTCTGCGGGGCGGCGGATTCAGTTGCGTTTGACACGTAGCATCCTATGCGCTGACGATGTGCATTGTATGGAGTGCATGTATGCGTATGATCTACATACGAGCATGCAATTCAGTGGTTTCTTCGGACATGAACTGTATCGGGTCGGGTTGGCACGGGCGTGCGCATCGGGGGTATTTGCTCGCGCTTGTCCTGTGGACATTGCAAAGCTAAAGAAACTTATCGTTCGTCACGCGTACGGCGCGCATGAGGCTGCATAGAGCTCTTGCTCGGTATGGATGACCATGTCTGCGCCAGCATCGCTCCATAGCATGGACTTTACACGCTCACCGCTGCACGCATGGAGCGTATGCGTACTTTCACTGCTTCCCGCATCCTGGCTCGCTCATGAGTGCATCTCTACACACGCTTTGGGCATCTGGGTGGGCTCATGCGGTGTCCCAATACGCAACATGTCTTCCTGGGCCTCTATAATGCTCACATACAACTGTGCGTCCAATCCTGCCACTTTATGGGGTGCATATATGCGCATATATCGGGCATACACCGTGTGATGGTGGATCAATCGCTCTACTCTTCTCTACCCTCGTCATTCGCCGCTTGTTGGAAAAGGAAGTACCCCTTTTCTGCAACTCCCAGACAGACTCGGTGAGCCGTATCACGGCCAATGCATGTCCTATCCGGTAAAGTATACTCCTTCCCAGCGCAGGCAAGCATCGCACTCCTCTCCCTCCAGTCCCTCCACTCCTATTCCTATCAGTTCCTCTCCTCGGCCGATCCGATTACAATCGTCGCACCATCCAGTCTGCGTTCAGAGCCTCTCAAGACGCTTCTCTCCGCAGCGGTGCTCGCTTCTCCCGCTCCATCCTCTTCCACGCTCTGCCTCTCCCAGACACACGACCGTACGTCCTAAGACTCGCACGTCTCACCGTCCCGTCTGGAATCTGACACGTCTGCTCATTCATACTTTCGAATTCCATGTCCTGTCAACGACGTCGTCCTTCGGGTGATCGGGAATGAACGTCTGACTCTTCTTTTCATTCTACAACATGACATTTTTCCGAACATGCGTTTTCAACGTGCAATACCCGCATGTTCCGACACCGACAGGCTCTCGATGTCGTGCGCATATATGCGCGGCATCTCGCGCACGTACCCGCGCGGGCGACGGCAACCTACGATTCCGTTCTCCCCAACCCATCCTTTCCCTCGCGCATCGATCTTCCCTTCAAGTCCAACCACCTAGCCCACGTGGAGCCGCTCAAACGCCTACGCTCGTCCTCCAAACACTTCTTAGAAATCAGATTCCAACCCAAAGCCCTTGTAGACGCCCATGCGCACCTAGTTACCACGCGGTACGTTCCCTGGCTCTGTGGGAGCCGACGCCTGCCCCGAGTACCACTGGCCATCTTGATTTACCGCTGGTATCGATGGTCGTTCCGGGCGCTGTATCTTGATGAACATTCGAGGACGCTGATCTGGAGGTATGGTTCGGTGGCGTTGAATCGTGCGCAGTTTCAGTCGCGAGGGGTGTACGGTGTTTGCGGTGGGATGGGAAGCGCTCGAGGTGCGGGCGGGTCAAATGGCGTGTAGATGTTCGGTTGGCGCTGGCGCTCGAGGCGTGCTTCTATTCAACAGCGAAACCCTCGCATTGTGTGATTCTACAACGTGGTCGTACAGTACACTAGAGCCTGGACGCCCTCGTGCGCTGTCCTTCTCCAGTCGCTTACACACACGAAGTAGCACCATACACGATGGCACCCTTGTTCTCCTGTACGCACGGTTGCATACTCAAAATCACATCGAACAACTTGAACCAGAAAGCCAAGCTCGGTAGCCACACCGACACATCCTTGAGGGTGATTCCGCCCTGATGGATGCGTGTGTACCATCGCGTACGGTATGGCTGCTGATCTTCAGACGAGCCTTCGAGAAGGGGCGGCCTTTTCGCGCGCAGAGCCGAACACGAACAAGACCAGAAAGTCCATTGTTGGGCGGCGGCCTCGTGGTCCTTGCTTCTGTTACTGCACAGCCCAACCAGCGTCTCTGAGTTTGAACGACTTGAAACAGGACATCCCCATATCGTAAACGGCATTCGGCAGCGCAGAGTTCCTGTTGCCGAATAAGGATTTTAGACTGGGGCGGTCGCCTCTGTGAGGACTGGGTCAATGCTAACCGTATAGACCGTAGTACGGAGAGACAGTCATGCTCAGAGGCGTGAAGTAGCCGCGCTGACGGACGTAGAGGCTGTCATAGCCGCGCCGAAATCAAGAGTGTACTGCCAAGCCGGGCCACAGGGCGCACGCAGCCAGCACGCCACCTCGTCCGCGTCTAGATATCGTGCCGCTGCGAGGCAAACGGGAGGCGTACACGCTTTCGGCAGTGGCAATAGAGATTCCCGTTCACGCGTATGGTGACAGGCTTTTTCTCCCGCTACGAGGCGCTCTTCGTCGTAAGCCCGTACGGGATGTAGGATAAAAAGCATTCGTAAGTTGTTGGGCAGAGAGCGGCTCGGGGTATTGAGGCTGTTGGATCCAGGGACATTGGGGCAGGCATAATTGAGGTTGAGGCACCCGTTCAGGTCGAACAAGGGCTCTGGATGCGTTGTATAGTGTGGGTGCTCGCGTTATCCCCTTGTACTGAAGCCGGCGTACATGACCTCAACATGGCTCCTTACAGAACGAGCACAGAAGGATCACGACCGCGAACCGGCCTCGGTAGGCTCCAGCACGCCCAAAGACGTATGCGGGGAAGCTCCGCTGACGTCCTTACGGCCGTACGCGCCGCGATAGGAGGCGTCTGGTGCGCCTATAGAACCGCGCAGTCGTGGCAGCTGGTCATGTCCCACGGTATATATCTGCATAGAGCAAGCTTCAAGCTTTGTACAAAGGCCTAGAGGTCGAGAGTTTGAGAAGGTCGGGAAGGAAGGTGGTCGGCACCCCTGTGCCCCTTGTGCTCTGCGCCCTGGGCCGGACAGGGGCGGCTTCGGCATCGGCTTGGTGAACCTTGCCGCCTGCGACGGGTCTGCATTGTTCGTGCGCGCGGGCACGAAGAACGTTCGCGCTGTCATCATGAGGATCCGATGCGCCGAGTAAGGTTGGCCGAGGAAAAATGGCCGCTGTTCCGCGTGGGCGACGCATATACGCTCATTTACGGGCAATTATGCTGTGATTCCAGCGAGAGATCCGCGAGAAGATGTGGACTCTCGAGCAGCTGCTCTACTATTGTTACAGATAGGACGGTACTTTGTTCCAGCCGTAGCCGTGGAGAGCGGAAGAAGAGAGATGGGCGCGGTGGCGATGGTGTACCTCGGGCCTACATGTGTAAACACCGCCCTAGTCAGAGCGGCGCGCAGTTGAGCGGAAGATGTCCGAATGTCTGAATTTCGGCGCATGTGGCTCCGTGCGGCATGTGCAGCGCGTACCGAAGCCGCGTAGGGCGGAAGCGTGTGGACGTGCGGGCGCAGGGCGGTTGGGGCGGGCTTGTGAGTGTCAGATCCGGGTTATTGATTGCTTTGGGTGGCGCGTGCGGCGGTTGGGATGGCGAGGACGGCGGAGGAGAGCGGGCGGTGAGAAGGATCTGGGCTTTGTGAATACTCCACGGAGCGCGTGCTGCGCGGGGCAGTGAACATGTTGCGCGTGGACGGATTGATGAGCGCGCGTGGGTCTGGGAGAGGCCTGAAGGGCGGGTGAAAATAATCATACAGAAAAAAGAAAAGAGAGGGAGGGAAGGACAAAAGACATGTGGGCGTGTACGTATGACAGAATATGCGAATAGGCGAAAGGAAAGACCGAAAAAGCGAGAGGGAGGGGAGGTCGACTGGGCTGGGGAGCATGTGGACGTTCGGTTATCTTGGGCGCGGGTTCGATATAAGCCCCGAGTCTGGTGAAAGATATGTTCCTCTCCCCCTGCAACCCCTCCGTACGGTCGTGCGCTCCTGTTCTGCTCGCTCGTCGTATGCCCGGACGTGGCTACCAGACTATTTGCGGGACATAGTCTGCTGCACGACTCGAGTCTGGCCCCGGAATGCTTGCCTACTCTGTCCAGCCCCCGCCGCTGTCCTTCAGGAAGAACTCTAGTGTATCGACGAGAAGAACTAATGACCGCTCCCCCCTCCCCCGCCTAAACTCCTCTTATTTCCCGCCAGCCCCATCGGCGCCACCGCCGCCGCCCGCATCGGCCCGCTCGCCGTCGCCATTAAACTCGCCCTATCTCTCCGACGTCGACGAGGACGAGGATGGGATCGCAGACGTCCTCTACAACGGCGACTCGGTCGGCCCGCTCCTGCTTGGCCAGCCGCTGCGCCCCGCCCGCCTGCCCAACGCGGCTGATCTCCCGCCGTCGCCCGACCAGCCGCCCAGGGACGCAGAGTACGAGGTCGTGCGAAAGCTCGGCACCGGTTCCTACGCCGTCGTCTATCTCGTTCGCGAGGTGCTCGACCGCCCTCTGAGCGACGACGGCCATGTCGGCTCCCTCGACATGGACGGCCAGACGGACCGGATCGTCTACGGCAAGGAGTACGCGCTCAAGCTGCTCTCCAAGGCCAACCTCGACGACGAGGCTCTCGCAGCCCAGCTGTTCGAGGTACGGGCCCTTTTGCGATAAGCACCAATTAATTCTCACCTCGTATCTCCAGGCAACCGTTCACCAGTCCCTGCCGGCGCACCCGAACGTCGTCTCGCTCCACAGGTCGTTCGAGACGGACTCGTACCTCTGCCTCCTGCTCGAGTATGTCCCCGGCGAGGACCTCTTCTACTTCCTCGAGCAGGCTCGCGACCACATCGTCCCGCCTTCGCCTTCTCCCCCTGCTTCTCCTTCGGCCGAGACTTCCCGCACTCCGCCCACGCCCGGCCTGCTTTCGTCAATGCACCCCAACCAGCTGCTTTCGCCCGTTCGCCTTCGCCTGATCGCCAGCATGTTCGCCCAGATGTGCGACGCGGTACAAGTCTGCCACGATCACGGCGTCTTCCACCGCGACATCAAGCCCGAGAACTTCATCGTCACCGACGGGTACGTGGAGGTCGACGGCCGCCGCGAGCGCAAGGTGCTCGTCAAGCTCTCCGACTTTGGCCTGTCCACGACCGATACCGAGAGCGGTGACATGGACTGCGGCAGCGCGCCTTACATGAGTTATGGTCAGTCATCAGCGCGCCTGCGATTATTAGCGCCGAAGAGCCACGATCTGACCTCGCCTGCAGAGTGCAGGAACAACGTCGCGCCCACGTACAGGCCACGCGCCGCCGACGTCTGGTCCCTCGGAATCGTCCTCATCAATATGCTCTACCACTGCAACCCCTGGACGGACACTGCCGACGGCGTTTGCCCTTCGTTCACCGCCTTCCGCGCAGCACCCCAGGCGTTCCTGCTCAACCGTTTCGCTGGTCTCACTCCCGCCGTCGCCTCCTTCCTCGCCGAGCGCGTCTTCTGCATCCTCCCGTCCTCGGGCGATGACGCCATCCGCGCGACCGCTCGCGAGTTTGGCACCTGGGTCCGCGAACTGCCCTCGCACTTTGCGCCCACCGGCGTCATGGCTCGGACCGCATCATTCCGCGGCCATGCCCGCGGTGGCAGCTTCTCTTCCCTTTCTGGAATCGACCATGCGCTCGGCTCCGTACCGCCCTCGCGCCGCCCCATCTCGCGCGCCGGCAGCACCGCTTCGCCTCGCATTGGCGCCCTCTCCCTGTCTCGGGCCATGTCCCGCGCTCCCAGTACTGGAGCGCACGACGCCGAGACCCGCCTGGCGCCCGTCACGACCGAGCCCGAGACGATCGCGGAGGAGGAGGACGATGACCAGGATGATGCGCAGAGTCGCGCGAGCACCAGCACCAAGCGCAGGAAACGTGGCGCCCGCAAGGGCAAGTCTTCCGCTGTGCCGCCCAGCCCCGCGCTCGACACCAGCGAATTGCTCGCGAGTGCCAGCCAGAACCTTGCGCGTGAGCTTTCGCGGGCTTCGCGCGGTACCGGCGCCAGCGTCAAGAGCGTTAGCCCGAGCGTGAGCATGTCAAGTCTCGGCGTGCAGCACAAGCAGAGCCTCTCCAAGCTATCCATGGGCATGGGATCCGCTCTCGGCGCAACGCCAGTGCCTGTCATTCCCGTCGCGTCGCCCATCGAGCCGCGCACGCCAGTCAAGAAGGCGAGCAAGTGGAAGCTGGGCTTCGGTTCGAAGAGCAGCGCGAGCGTGGCGACGGAGCCGCTGCCGCAGCGTGAGGAGCCCGCGTCGATCGGCAGGGCCGCCGGTGCGGGCACTTCCTCGCGTGCGGCGAACGTCAGCAACTTGATCAACGGTTTGGCGCCCGCGCCCGTGCCTGTCCCCAACGCGAAGGTCACCGACGAGGAGAAGTTCCGCACGCGTGGGCGTCAGCCCCGCGAGCGCGAGATCAGCAGCAGCAGCGACGTCAGCTCGAACCACTCCAATGCGGCCAGCAATTTCAACGCAGCGTTCAGCTCTGGCCAGGGTACCGCTTTCGGCGGACCGCGTACGCCCGCGTCCAGCTCCACCACCAGCTTGCATGCGTCTGGTTCGAACCTCGAGCCGCCGGCACAGCGCGAGCAATGGTCACGCTCCCCCGTGCGCTCTAGTGCGGCGAGTACGGCCAACAGCTGGCGCAGCAGTATGGCGAGCACCAACACGAGCTCGAGCGCGTTCACGCGGTACAGCAATTACAGCCGCGCGAGCGTCAGCACGACGGCGACGAGCGTGAGCGCTGGATCTGCTTCGGGTGATTGGCGCTCGAAGCCTGGGCTCGGCTCTGCCGCCAGCAGCGTCTATTCCGGAAAGGGCAAGGGCGTTGCGCCCGGCGAGAAGCGTGGCCAGGCGCACAACAAGTACCCGTATGCGCTCGGCGTGCCGCCTCCGAATGTGAAGAGTGAGTACTATTTCCGTCCACCTCGTGTGCGAGAACCTCGGGACGAGAAAGCTGATTAGATATGGCGTACGCGCCTGTTGTAGTGATGGATGGCGTGCCATGGGAGCTCAACGAACTTCCCCGCCAATTGCATCCCAAGCCCCACGGCGACATCTTCGGCCAGCCGCCCGCGCCTAGACCCGCGAGGACGAGGAAGGTGAAGGGTCAGGCGCCGTTGGGCACCATCAGCGAGAGCGCGGGCGGTGCGAGGGTCGACGCCGGGACGAGTACGACAGATCTGCATGAGGATCAGATCGGCGAGGAGCATGGGCACAAGGTGCAGAAGGGCCAGATCAATGCGCTCGCGAAGATGCTCGGCGCGCTGCGTCGCTAGTCGACCCCCATCGCCTTGAACCAACATCGTCCTGTACCATATCTTGCATGAATCCCGCCGCCTGAAACCCTCACCTGTACCATGTCACCGCTTTGCCTCGTTCGCCCGTGTCCCTTGCCGCTCGTTCTTCGCTCTGCCTTAGCCCCCTCGGACTCTCGTCGCCTCGATAGCCTTGTTGCCTCGGCGCCCTACCCTACGGTCATTCACAATGTTCTTCTTCTCGTCAAACTCAAGATCCAACCATCCCCGCTAGTATAACGTTCTTCCCGTCCGGACGCGCGCAGTCGTCCACCATCTCCCCTCCGCCTCTCTTACTCTCCATACATCCATCCGCCGCGGCCCGCCGCTGCTGCCTTTTGCGCGCGAACGGTCGCGGCATTCCCAACTCTTCCGCATCCTCACCCACGAACCACCCACTCCGCCTCATCGGGCCATTTGCTTTATTCTGCAGCTGTTGCACCAGTGTCGTTGTCTGTCGCGCGAGCGCTCTACCGGCCCCGGCGCGCCAGCTATCCTGTACCCGCACCCATCACCGCCGTCCTCGCACGGTCCGCTCTGTACCCTAACTTAGCTCCGCCCATCCCCGATCCAGCCTCTGCCTCGCCGTCTCGACGCACACGTTTCAATACAACCCCTTCTGCTTCAACCCCATCACAACCAACGCACTTTACCTTTTTTCTTCTCTTCTTATACAACCATCAACCCGACTCAACCATCTCTTCTGTCGACAGCTCGCTCATTTTTTTGCCCTCCATCAACCCATTCACCTTTGCAACCTTTTTTCAACGCTTCTGCGCGGCGGCCTGGCCGTCGCCCACCCTCTGCCCTGCCCTACGTACGGTTTTTGTGCGGCCTGAATCACCTTGTTCGGTCCTCCTTGTTTTTATATTTTTGCTGGCATTACTGGATCACCTAACCCACCGGAGCGAGGGAATGCAAACTCGTACTGTACTACTACGATTCAATTCGCCCGTCGATTACCATGCATGCCTCATTTCTTTGCTTTCGAACTGCTGTGATGTGCGAACTCGATTCGGGAAGCATGTTGTACCACACGAGTGCGCTGTGTTTAGGGCGTGTAGGGTGATACCCTTATTATCTTGGATATATATATAATAGATTCCGTTCATCTCTTTACGCGAAACTAGTCTCCCGTAGGCAGACTCATGTCGCGCTGTACGCGAAACTGAGCATTATGGATGGCAGACAACAGTGAATATGTATGCATCATCTCTGGCTTGGATATCGGTCTATAGCTCTTCCGAATCCTCTTCTTCGGCGTACTCTGTAGAATGCATGTTAGTCCTTTAAATCTAACCTCAACCTGGGAGCCAACGGGTCGGACGTACCTGTTGCTGGATCTCTCTCTAGAAGCTCAACCTCGACATGCGGCACTAAGGTCTCCATGCGCGGCAAAAGTACCTTCTTTGCCTCGGCATAGTCTGGGACGAGTAGTTTGTCAATGCGCAGACGGTCCAAGGGAGCGCCTGCTCTCCTTCGCGACGACAAGATGTGCAGGAACTGCTGACGATCCGGACCTCCCTGCTGCGCTTCCTCGTCGTTCCGCGGCTTTCTAACGTCGAGTGCCGATATCCATAAGAAGGACAGGCGCGGTAGAACGATGGGCGTTTCATCGGTCTGGGCCGAATCCGAATCGTCGAGGTTCGTGGCCTTCATGGCGAAGAGCGCCGACATGCGACCAGGACCGTCGAGAGACAGGGTCACCAAGTTGGGGAACAGCGAGAGGCACGCGATCCAGACGTCGTTGCCATACGTGTTCCCGAATGCAATCTGTAACGTGCCTATGGCAGACATGTTCGTGAAGGTCTGCGCGTGCGCTAAGAGGACCTCGAGACACGGCTCACGATGCTCTCGTGAATCGCCGCCGAAACTGAGATCGTGATGCCTACAAAAGCCATCCGCGAAGAGGTCGAAAGGCGCCTTGGTGACCGAAGCGGGGGAGGATTTTGGCGTATACAGCGCGATTTCAACCTTATCCCGCTCTTCAAGAGCCATCCCAGTGACGAGTGAGGTATCCAGGTGCGTGAAGTGAGGGAGGGAGAAATTGAGGTATTCGAACGCGCCCGGGAAGTCGATCTGTTTGTAATGAAATTCGACATCGTAACGTGTAGACCGGGGTAAGGTCAGATGGGTAAGTAGGTCGTGGCATCGACGTATCTTCCCTCTGAGACGCAGCCTTTCAAGAGAAGGCAACGGCACTTTGTCTGACTCAGCTAAATGCGAGTTCAATCGTGGGATGCATGACGCAATATCCAGCGAACGGAGATTGACTGAGCGGCGTAGTATCGTCAAGAAACGTCTAGTCGATAGTATGGCCGAGTATGGTTCAGCGAGCTGAAGCTTGAGGTCGGTTAATGTGGACGGGTCGAAAGATATCATGTAGTTCTTCAAGTGCAGAGAGCGTAGGTTGGGTGCCATCATCTCCGGCAGTTCGAAGATCTCAGACGTTATAGCCTCGTTCTCTCCATCTTCTCCACTAGGTAGATAACCCAGATCCAATGAGAGATGCTGCAGGTGAGGGAACTGCAGCTTTGAAAAGAAGCCGGGGTCGAGATTCGCGAAAAGCGTATCGTTAGACCCTTCGACATGTTCTTCGAGAATGATTGCGCGCGAGGATCTTAAAAGGTGTTTGACGGCGTCGATCTCCGTACGCCGTAGACGCGGTATGCTTTTGAGCAAGTTAACTCGGACATCGATGTGCAGTGGGGCATTCCCGTAGTATGATGCCAAGTCGGTTGGTGATCGAGTAATGCTGCAGATATTGCTCGCCCAGAGGTCGTTGCGAGCCAGCACGGCCGCTCGTAACTTCCGGCAAACGTGCGCAAGTAGTATCCAACCTAATCTGAGGGAAGGACATGTCTTATAGTTTCTCCCTTCCATGAACGCCACATGTTCGAGCAGAGGGCCTTCTCTCGCGTATCCTACGACCGCAGGCCAGATAGATGCCAGGATCTCGATGACCTCCCCTAACGTTTCCAGCGGTAGACGAAGTAACGGCAAGCAGGTGTTGCGAGACGTGCGTAATTGAAGGAGCGCCGTCTCTAGCACAGTGATATCTGACTCTATGCTCTGCTTCAACTGGTTTGAAGCGTGTCCCGCAGCAATGGTGTCGTCTATCCGCTGAATGTGGGGCGAAACCATCTCGGATAAACGGGTCGCATGCCCGACAGGACTGTCGGATATGTTAGCTCTTTCGTCATCGTGCTTGGCATTCGCTGAGAGCATACAGAGTGACACTCATTGTGGATTTTTGGCTGGAAGGCGGGCGGAATGAGTCTCTCGTGATGGTTCTGCGCAACTTGCCACGAAGCGCGTTCGCGAAAGCGTCCGGCTACGAAACCAAACAAGCGCACACACGGTTCGTACTAGCATACATGTACGTACTATGCTTGTGCCTGTTGTACCGGGTCCTTCGAACTTAATACGAGACCGATGCTCCTGAAGTATCGGTGGAAGCTTGGGCGCTGGGCCATGTCGGGGCCATATGCATATTGAATGCGACACGCACCTCGATTGGATCAATGTGTTTAGCAGCCTATCGGGTCCATGATACAGTCGAAGGTTGCAAATACTTGCTCCGCGATATGGACTCACCAAGGTATCGACGTGGAGTGAATACTCGGGAATATGATCAGTAGAAGTTGCGAACGAATTACATGTCTGAAGGTACTATTGCTATAAATGCATATCGCCTCTAGGTACATGGCGCCTAACTACCGTAGGGAAGGCTTACATATGGTTATACAACATTGGTCGTACTTCGAAGAACTATATCTCATACTGTAGCCTGAATGTCTCCGCCAGCCCACTTCCACGGCGTACGACGGAATTTCTCGGGTTCATCGCGCGCACCCTCCTCCCAGTAACGATACTCGAGCCACACATCCTCGTGCATCTGCTCTTCCGTCGCCTGGAGCCAGCGACCAAGCTCAGGCGCAAGTGGAACAACACCAGTCTCAAGCACGTATTGGTCCCAATGCTTCAAAAGCTCCTTGAGCTTGTCAGCATACTCGGGAACGTCCGCCAAGTCGTTTGTCTCGCCGGGATCGCGCGCGAGATCATACAGCTGCCACTTCTCCGTGCCCTTCGGCTTCGGAAGAAAGACGATCTTGTGCGTGCCTTTGCGTAACGCGGCACGGCCACAAGTCTCCCAGCCTGTGACGTGATCCTCGGCGTGAATGCGTGGAGAAGCACCCTTTGTGAAAGGCATGAACGACGCGCCACGCAGCGGGACAACCTCGCGGCCTTGGTAGCGCGGAGCGGGATGCGTTGCACCAGCCATCTCCAAGATGCTAGGTGCGAGGTCCATGACTGTCGAGAACTGATCCGTGATTCCGCGAGAGAGGTTTGACGCGAGCGAATATGACGTGGGGAACTTGGCGACGAATGGCACGCGTACGCCACCCTCGGTCGTATAAGCTTTGTACAGGCGCGAGGGAGCGGTGGCGGCTTGTGCCCAACGAGGGCCATACCATATAAAGGAGTTATGCGCGCCAAGGTTGTCGAGTGAGTTGTCGTAGTACTTCTGCAGATGGCCAAGCATGGTTGATTGCACCATAGGGTACGCCTACGGAAGCGTCTCGAGATCAGCGGTGTGAAACATACATCACGGGAGATGGGCATACCTCATAAGCAGCGCCCTCCGCGCCATTGTCGGACATGAAGCAGATGAACGTGTTGTCGTACTCCCCCGTGCTCTTGAGGTGCTCAACGACTTTGCCTACGTTGTTGTCTATACATTCAACCATAGCGGCGAAGACCTCCATGGCGCGACAAGATTTGGCTGTGCAAAGAGTCAGCATTCGATGACAAGAGGTCCGCAATACTATACTGACCCTTCTCCTCTGTGCTCAAGGCGGCCCATTCCCTGACTTCATCTGCCACTACCGGGTGGGGCTTGACGTCCTGCGGAATCATGCCGAGGTCCTTCAGACGTTGGAGACGGCGGTCGCGAAGCACGTCCGGTCCATCGTCGTACACGCCCTTGTAGTGCTCAATGACCTCTTTGGGCGCCTGCAACGGCCAGTGTGGTGCCGTAAAGGGAAGGTACGCGAAGAATGGGCGCGTCTCCTTACGGTCGTGACGCTCCTGTAGATACTGGACCATCTTGTCACCGTAGCCGTTTGACGAGTACCAGCCTTCGGGTAGCTTCTTCACGTACTCGCCGTCCTCAGAGTGAAGTGCGATGAAGGACATCGTCATGAACTCGGGAATCTTGTCCGGGTTTTGAAGCTGAGGTTCAAAGGCGTAGTGGTTGGAGCCTTTGGTCGTTCAGAACTTAGCGTTGATAGTGAACAGGAGATAACTCACATGCAGGAAGATGAGCGAAGCTACGTTCGAAGCCGCGCGCCTTCGGAGAACGCTCCGGCGTGAGGCCAAGATGCCACTTGCCGCTCATGAGTGTCTCGTATCCGGCGTCGCGGAGAACCTCGGGAAGCGTAACGACGCGCTCATTCAGGTAGCCTTCATAGCCGGGCATGCCGCGCTGAGGCGCCGTATCGAACTGACCGCCCTTAGGACCATTTTGACCGGAGATATTAGTCCACTCGATGAGATTTCCTAAGCCTGCGATGTGGTGGTCTGTACCGGTCATGATCATCGCGCGCGTCGGAGAGCATGCCGCGGCTGCGTGAAAGTCGGTGAAGCGCAGACCATCGTTGTGAGCTGCGAGAGCGTCGATGTTCGGAGTGCGTATCTCGCCACCGAAGCAGCCGACGTCTGAGAAGCCCAGGTCATCAGCGACGATGACGAGGAAGTTGGGACGTTTGTCGGCAGATTCGGGTTGGCCAGCCATAATGGACGAAGAGGGTGGGGGTGAAGAGCTTGATAGCTGGAATCTCCTGCAATAATACCCAGAGCACTCTGTTTATCGATAGCACTCGGACGGACGCCCCGACGTCCGCTGAGGCCCGTCGTCCGCTGCGGTCCCAACATGTGCCTCGAGAAGTCGCTTGACCGCACGTTCAAGTCGAAGACAACATGCACGCGTGAGACTTTGAATGCACATGATCACGTCTCGCGCCACAGCCGCGGCAAGTCCTGGTTTGGGACTCGACACCGACGGCCAACTGCATATCCTCTGAAATTGCCGTAGGCACCTGGCTAGCACATTGGAAGGGTGATTCCTGCGTCATGCGTCGCCGATACTTATCATATGGGCACCCTCGGCGCTGCGCAAAGACATGGTGTCGTGCGTTGGGGGTCCGATGGCGCAACCAGGTGATGCACCACCTGAGAGCTCTATAGCGCTAGATGGTGTGCTTGATGCAATAGGTGTATTGTGCCTAACTTCTCTACGCGGGGCGCGCGTTCCTCTCCGATGCTACGAGGAGGCCCTGAATTGGACGAGCGAGACTCGGACTCGGACTTGTAGAAAAACTGACCATGAGACCTTACCGCCGGCTCCTTCCTTGCCCTCCTCTTGATCCGCAACGATGGCTCGCTACGAAGGTTCTACTCTGGGCCTGATACGGGCGTACTGGCTCGCTACCGTAGTGTGTATGGGCGGCTTCGTATGTTAATCCGAACTCAACTCAAGTCTCTCACGATTGACCTCATGATAGTTGTTTGGGTACGACAGTGGTGTCGCAGGAGGCGTCTTGACGTTTCCCTCCTTCGAGAACGATTTCCGATTCACTCCAAAGCAAGCGACGCGTACGAGCTCGCTTTCGGTCAGTTTACAACAAGGCGGCGCCTTCGTATCATGCCTCCTCGTATGGCCTTTAACTCGTCGTTACGGCCGCAAGTGGCCCCTCGTCATCTCGAGCTTCGTCTTCTGCATCGGCGTTATAATCGACACCATCAACACACACTCGCTTCCCGCATTCTACGTGGGCAGAATTGTTGCCGGTCTCGGCCTCGGAGCCGCCACGGTCATCATTCCTGCTTACAACAGCGAGATGGCGCCGAAGGAGCTGCGCGGACAGGTTGGGTGCTTCTTCCAGCTCTTTTACACTCTGGGCATCTTGATCTCGTACTGGATCGATTACGGCGTTGCGAAACACATTCCTGGCAAAACGGCGGAATGGCAAATCCCGATCGGCCTGCAGCTTGTGCCCGCAGCTGCCATTGGTTTCGGCGCCCTCACTTTGACGGAGAGTACCCGTTGGCTGACTGCTGCGGGTCGCCACGAGGAGGCTTGGAGGTCCTTGGTCTGGATTCGCGCGTCGGATGCGCCGGAGGTGGAAGCTGAGATGCAAGAGATCCGCGAGGGTGTTGAGCGTGAGCTCAAAGCCCAAGAGGGTTTCCGCCTTACCGAGCTCTTGGAGATACGAAATGGCAACTTTCGTCTTGTGGCGACAGCATTCCTCATGTTTACCGCCCAACAGAGCACCGGAGCGACCGCGTGCGTACAATTCTCGAGCGAATTATCTCATTCTAACAAGGTTGCTTCCAGTTTTGCGTATTATGCGCCGCAATACTTCAAGTTGCTAGCTGGCGGCTCTTCTAACCAGCAACTACTTCTCACGGGTATCTTCGGTGCCGTCAAAGTCGTCGCTTGCGCGTTCTTCGTCTTCGTACTGTCGAACTTCCTTGGACGCAGGAAGCCGCTGATCTTTGGCGCTGCCCTCATGGCCATCTTGCATTTCATTGCTGGTGCTATCACGAAAACCCACCCTCCAGCCGCGACGGGAAGCCCGTCTAGCGCAAACATCGCGACCGTCGTCATGATATACCTCTTCGTAGTGGTCTACAACATGTCTTGGGGTCCACTTCCATGGCCATATGTTTCCGAGTAAGCGGGTCGCTTTCTATTCCCACTAATGTAGTCTAACGTGGGTATAGGATTTTCCCTGCTCGCATACGTGATGCAGGAGTGGCTGTCGGTGTAGCGTCTCAATGGCTATTCAGCTTCGTATACACGCTCTCGAACGCCTACATGATCGCTTCGATGGGATGGTAAGTGCTCTTTTAATTTTGCTACACTGAATTGCTCAAGAGATGCTAGGGGCGTCTTTATTCTCTGGGGCGGTCTCAATCTAATCATCGCCATCGCCTCTTACTTCTTCATCGTCGAAACGAACAACTTATCCCTTGAGCGCATCAACGAGATCAATAGGGTACCAACACCCACATCTTACCGAGACGATCATCTTCATCCGAAAGACGACGACGACATCATCACCAAGAAACGTAGCTCGACGCCTTCTGAAGTATGATACTCATGATTTCGTAGAAACATTGTATACTGTATCTGTACTTTACGACACACACTATGCCGGAGGCAAGAATGCCGTCCACAATGCAATGCTCAACATACCCCATATCATACTCCAGCGCACCCATGCCCGTCCAGCCCGCGGTCTCTCAAGGAGCAGCCAAGCTCCTGCCCAATACGTCGTCGGCATAGCAGAAGTTGCGCGCAGTGCGATTTGAGTGTTCGAAGCGAGGAGGAGCACCATGCCGAGGATGACAGCGTGGATCGTATGTGGCACGAGAGAGGTACGAAGAAAGATCGATCGGCCCTCCGGTTCTTGTTCTGTTGACGGCTGATCCAGCTTTAGGTATGGCAGCAGCACGCCATTCCACAGGTGAAAGGCGCAGAAAGACAGGACGACTGTGAGGACAGGCACAGCAAGTGCGATATTCGGCGCCTGGCCCAGAGTCCAATATCGCAAAAAACCGTTGTTCCAATACTTGACTTGGACGTGTCCGTATATCGATGGGATCGTATCCGAGCACCACGGAGGACGGGAGTCGTGCAGAGGCCCATCACCGCAGAAGATGAGGTACGCGTTATACTGGTGTGCGATGAAAGGCGCGAAGACCAGAGAGCTGAGTATGGAGGCTTGTAGCACTCGACTGAGTGGTGGCTACGGCCCGTTAGTTCCAGCATGCCATAGAACCTCAAAGTTGGACTCACCCAACGCATATCCATGATGATGTCACGCGCTACTAAATCCCATAGTATGAACCCAGCATTCAAAACACCATTCGAGCGAAAGGCTGTCGCCAACGCGAAATACAGCGCGGCGGGAATATATCTCCTGCGTGCACACTCCGTCATGCCTGTATGATGCAAGGCATCAGCATGCATTATCACTGATCTGGAAGACAAAATTACCTTGATATGTGAAGAGAGCGAAGTATGGCTCAGTGTACGGCGCAAAGAGAAGAGCGGCGGGACTGCTCGGTAGCAGGGAGAACAATGCCGCCAGGTATGCAGCGTCGGGTGAGCCGAGGTGATACAGCGATAGTCTGTAAAGAGACTGCGTGGATAGTATTCCGGCCATTGCCGCCCCAATGGCGCCAGCATTTAATATTGCCGGCCAGCCGTCACCCGAGAGCCCGCATAAGCGTAAGAGCCTGCCTCCATAGCGCATTGTGGCCGGTAAACCTGGCAAGAACGCCCACTGATGCTCGTGCGTGTGACCATCGAGTGCAATAGCACCAAAATGGAAGGCATCCCAACGGAGGAGCGCGCCGGTCAGGCGAGAGGTGTTCGCAGGAAGCACATTCAACGGGGACGTGTCGAATAAAGGCAGGAAGGTTGAGAGATATACTAGCAAAGTTACAATCAGGCGCGCGGCGATAGCACTGTATAAGAGTGCAAAACAGTGATGAGCGACGGCTTTTCCGTCATATCTAGGCAGTGAGGACATGAACGCATCGGACAAACAGGATGCATCGCGTCGTTCGAGTCCTCGGGGATTCATGACTATCATCAGTAAAAAGTCGTCACCTGAGCGATTCGAACACTCGCGTGCAAAGCACAACCGCTGAAATGCTAGAGATAGCAGGCGATCCCGTTAACCACTCCGGCAAAGTGACATGTAGAAGTTCACACCCAAACAATATATAGTGTTTCAAAACCTCCTCAACGTCGTCGTCGACTTCCTCTGCATCCAGTATCGCGTCTGATACTGCATGAACTACGACCGCATAAGTTCTTCGAGCTTGTAATGATGGAACGATCTCATTGTGAGCTGCTGGTCATCTTTTCGTACCGTATATTGTCACGACGTGACGGCTAAGCCGCTCGAAGCTCGGACGCCACTCGGCCGTCGTTCTACCATCGTGAGTGAGGTGACGCTTGACCCCCACGCTCGCACGGGCCTATTCCCGGTTGTCCTAGGCTGCCGAAGCAGCGCGGATGCGTCACGGGATATCCGTTCACTATAACTATGAGAGTCGATTGTGCAGCGTCTCTCTTGCAGTACCATTCTCCCAGCCCTTGTTCTTGACCTTCACTTGATCGGCATCAATACCCATCAGCCATGGTGTTCTCGCTCATACGTCGCGTGCGCCTGGTACGTATCATTGTCTTGTCTGATTTCATGTACTGTTGGCTCAAAGCGTACTATACGTCAAGGCTCTCAATCCCCCCGCAGCCGTCGGGGCCACCGAGGCGCCTCTCAGGTTCGGCATCCTGGGCGCTGCCAACATAGCGCCAATCGCGCTCGTCTGGCCGGTGAAGAACCACCCCGACGCAGTGGTTGCTGCTGTTGCTGCGCGAGACCAATCGCGTGCGGACGCTTTTGCCAAGAAGCATGCAATACCAAAGGCGTACGGTGGTTCCAATGCCTATCAACGTAGGTTTTTCGCGCTTTCACACGTACATGGGCGTCAGATGGACTGACCAGACGACAGAGCTCCTTGATGACCCGGACATCGACTGTGTATACAATCCCCTTCCGAATGGCTTGCATTATGAGTGGACCATGAAAGCACTCGCGGCTGGGAAGCATGTCCTCTTGGAGAAGCCATCCGCCGACACCGCGGAGGAGACGCGCAACATGTTCGCTTTCGCCGAAGAGAAAGGGCTGGTCCTTCTAGAGGCATTCCATTACCGGTGCGTGGCGAGACCGTCGTGTATACGCAAAGTAGTGACTGTTGTCGGCAGCTTCCACCCGTCTGCACGAAGAGCAAAAGAGATTGTTGAGAGTGGCGAATTGGGCGATGTCACTGAAGTGGTCGCGAAGATGGCTATGCCTGGCGGGTTCTTCAAGGACGCGGACATTCGTTTCTCGTACGGCCTCGGCGGTGGATGTTACATGGATATGGGCTGTATGTGCACTCTGCTGTCAGGATCTACTGGTGCTGACGCGTCTGAGCAGGCTACACTATGTCCATCATACGCCATCTCTCGGGTTCCGATCCTGTCCGAGTCGTGACTGCTAGTGCGGAGACATCATCTAAATTTCCTAAGGTGGACATCGGCACCACTGTAGAGCTTGCCCTTGCGCCGCCTCGTGAGGGGGCTGCCGAGATCAAGGCTACAGCCGAAACACATTTCAGGTTGCCTCCGCGCTTCGGCTTCATCCCCCGATGGCCCCAAATGTTCGTGGAGGTGAAGGGGACCAAGGGCGAATTGCATTTTGAATCATTCCCGGGTTCGTGGGCCTATCACTATATCACTGTGAAGACCAAAGACGCGGGTGGCAAGGTCCATGAGCGGACTGAGAAGCACTATGGCATTGAAGGCTGGACTACCTATCGGTATCAACTTGAGGCGTTCGTGGAGAAGGTACGCGGCAAGGAACCATTCCACTGGTTCGACGCAGAGGATTCGATCGCCAACATCAACTGGATTGAGAAGGTGTACGAAGCGGTCAGTCCTGATCCTCTCTCTTCTCGAGCTCAGATCAGTGCCATTAACGATTTCAACAGACTGGCCTGGGGTCCCGCCCCGCGTCCGACTTCAAGCTACCAGACGCGTGAGACACACCAGCTCTGGCATACAGCCAATAAGATATCATACCCTTCTCTTCCGATCGTACATTTAGTATCGCCAATCTTTTGATTTTCTCGAGTCGACAACCTCTGAAATGCGCATCTCACACCTTATTCATCAATCCAAAGATGTATTGTATGTGCAACGATAGCGAGTGTGTAAAGCAAGATAAAGCACGATGGTGGGAATGACCAGGCAACCCAACCCAGAACAACACGACGATGAAATCCAAGTGTCTCATACGTGATCGGAACCCTTCGCGTCAGTTGGGTGTTCGCCATCCGACTGACTGTGGTCCTGGGTTTTCGCCCCATAAGCACCGTCGTATGCGCAGGTGTCGTGGTTGAATGCGATAGGCTGGAGGGATATGGCATGTGCGCCGGATTTGTTGACTCCGCTCTGGCCGGGCGTGGCGCCAGGGACGTTGGTCGTATAGAGCATACTCCGCTCCAAGCCACTGTTCTTTTGCCCGCGAAGGTTCAACACTAGGCGGCAACACAGAACCTGCGACAAGATAAGGGCGAGGAAACCTGGAACCCGATCAGCCTCTGCCGATGTTGAGTACATCCATGAGGAGCTTACAATTAATGTACTGAATAGAGGCGTTGCTCTGGAACATGAAGGCTGCCTATATGCGCGTCAACAAGAGCGCCGGAGCTGTACTCGCACACGACTACGCACATTGAGGACGTTCACGGCCGCGACGGCGAGGAAATAGAAGACGCCCTCCCTGACGAATGTCCTGGTTTGGAGGGTCAGCCAATGCCCGCTCCGTATTTGTCAAACACGGTTACCTGATGAGGGGCATAGTCGACAGGCGCTTAAACGCAATAACCTAAAATACCTCAGCAATTGTATGGGCGCTGATGAAATTGCATCTACCAACCTTGTACAACGTCATCGCGGTGCAAATGAGGTCCATGGCAACAGGTGCCAGCCAGAAACCTGACAGAAATCTTTCAGTCCGAAGGTTAACCAGACCAAGCGACCTTGGCTTACCAGAGACGACATGTTTCCCGGGCTTGTCACTGGCCGTGCACGGTCCCTCAGTGCCGATGAGAATAGGAACTTGGTATACTCCCGCGATAGCGACATATAGCAAGAAGACCATCTCGCCGAAAAGCAGCGCACTCAGAAAGACAGCGGCCAATTTACTTCGCATGAGAAACGCCCACGTCCGGATCGCGAGAATGGCCTCTGCAAATAGGTTAGTCTATTTGGCCTTTTACGAAAGATGCGGAAGAACGCGAACCTGAACCAAGGGTCACCCACATGCATGTTGCCGCGATCAGGTAGTGGCTGAAAGGGACATTTCAGTGAATGTACCCGGTCCGCGCCGCCATAACTACTTACAGGGTCTTACAGCGCTCCGTTGTAAAGTTTGCGTTGAAGAGCCACAGATTGAGCGCAAAGCAAAGCTAAATGGACAAGGTTAGCGGCGCCGAAGACGGTGGAGTCGGCCAAGACATACAAGGCCATAGTAGCGAACCCACAAGTACAGACACTTGACAGGGCTCCATGCTTTCTTCCAGATACGCTCGTACTCCATGGGAAGGCAAGTAACCCAGTCCCAGACGGCCACCGCCATCTAGTAGAACGTCAGCCTGTATCACACACCAGACGGACTAGCTGCACATACCATTGCGCTCGTATATACTTGTAGGACGTGAGTGAGATAGAAAGAGGTTTTGTATAGCTCTTCAAGAGCCGGGTCGCCGCCGCTAAGCGACTGTGCGCCGAGCTCGTTCAGAGCAGGTATACTGGACATGATTCGTAGAGGTAAAGAATGGACTCGAAAGCAAAGCTTGATGGGGAAGCGCTCAGAACGGGGGGAGCATCGAGCACCGAATTCTCCGTCACGTAGCCGCTATATGAATTGCCCAGACAAGCCGGCTGAGAACTCTGTGGGCGCTTGTATGAACCGACTAATTCCCAGGGTGCTGCAAACGAGGCGAAAAGATTGTCGACGGAGAAGACTCGAAGCCCTTATGATTGAAAAATAGAGTTTGTTGTCGCTCCCAGGGTCGCGAGGAGGCTCGAGGACCACCACATCCGGTTGTCGACGGGGAACTCGTGGAACGCGCGGATCTGAGCTTCTCGGCGGGAACCGATGTCCACGATGCGACCGGACCTGATAGCAATTCATTTTCACAATATAGACAGCATCATGGAGTGCGCGCAGCAAGTGCATCATGTGGTACGTATGGAAGTACGGAATACGTTGAAGCAGACAAGAGGACCCAGGCTGGGCGTAGCCACCAGTAGACGTGGACAACACCTGGTATATTGGTCGAAGTACTGACAAACACGGCGAACTTTGGTGAATTGGCGATCTCTGCTAAGCGAGAGCCTGGATGTACCATGTACGACACCGGCCGAACAAGCGCCGCAGAAGGGAACCTTCCAGGGTTTCACAAGACAAATGTTTGTCCCCCACATCTGCAAACCAGGAATCCCTTAACAAGTGTTAGTAACACTCGGTAACAACGATAACGACGGTAAGAGCCGTTAAGCGTTTCAAACGGCCAGAAAGCGTCAAGAAAGCGTGGCTCTCGCGTGCCTCGGCGATGGCCGACAAGGTTCGCGCGGGTCGTGGCTTGTTTGTGGCGCCTGTATCCTCACAGNCTAGCAGTATGACACCTAACAACAGAAGGGAGGGACGAAATGATAAGGTCGAAAATGTGTGCGGCGCGGTTCCAACACGAGGCGGGAGCTCTTGCGGTCGTTTGAAACGCTTACCGGCTCTTACTGCTGTTAGCGTCGTTACCGAGCGTTGCTAACGCTTTCTAAGGGATTCCTGGTTTGCAGATGCTGAGTGGCAAGCGGAGATGGCATTGGACAACACCTGTACACCATATATCATCGATACCGATGTCGTCGGCAACAGCTGATGCGCGCTTAACGCAGATCTACATGGCGTGTCGCCTGTTTGCGGTCATCACATGCCTTCTCCTGATTGGCGGCTTCAATTCATCTTCTGAAATTGGTACGCCTGGATCCATCAGCATCTCACCTGCTTGACTGAGAGACTCACCTGACAGATTGTGCGGTGCGCTTTGACGGACTTCATTGCAAGCTTCTTGATCAATCAAACTGATTACTCCGTAGGCTTGGATGCGGTCAATCATGGCTAGTACTCCTCCGTTGCGTCTGTTGTTTCCCTCAGCTCATGACCTATCTCCAGTTTTTTGCATACTTCGCAGTACTGCTCGCTGCAGCTCTCCTCATCATCCGCACGTGCGTCACATTGGCTTTTCCTGAGCGCTTCCCTTTTCACCCTTCTCGTGCAGGATGGCTTTATGGGGTCATCAGTGGCCAATCACTGTTCTTCTGTGCGTAGTAGAGCTGGCTAGTTTCGCGCTCAACATCAATGGTGCGCCCTCCTGACCCTCGGATACGGCTTCTTGATGCTCATGGGCCCTTTCGCAGCCATCACCAAGGTCGCTTCTCGCGAGATTGCGTCGTAGCGAGCCATCACTCACTTTGCGGCAGATCGAGGCTCTCTGGGGTACCATACCACCACTCTCAGGCTCTTGCTTGTTCGTCAACACGTATGACGTGCGATCCAGCATATTAGGCATCCTTCTGGCAGATCTAATTCTTCTCACCGTCATGCTGGTCGGCGTTCTCCGACGGAAATCGCAATCGTCATTATGGACTTTGCTCCTCAAGCAGGTACGCTCGGGTCTTTCGAGTCATGTGCATAGTACTCACCATGTTCTGGATAGGGCATTGTATCTATCGCGCTCGCGACCACCATCGGTATCCCACCCGTTACATTGAACTTCCTGAACTTGAACGGCGCTATGAACATGGTACGTCAACCCCGTCTCTCCCATACTCTTAATCGAGTTCTGACCGGCCAATCAGATGCTTCACTTCCCTTGCTGTGCGTAAGGACCCATATGAGTAGAGGCGCTCGCTAACGTGGTCCCCTCAGTCATTGCCTGGGTTGTTGCTATCACGAGTCTTTACCGACAGCTCGAACTACACAAGGCTGGACCTGAGGAGCGTCACGCATTCGGGTAAGTCTCGATCTCGGTCACTTCTTTCGGTTGTCCAAATGGACTGTAATGACGTCGCCTTTCATAGGACGTCTTACCTTGACACTACCGAACAAACCATGTTCAATATCACGCCCATACCGTGCAAGCAAGAGCTCCATTCACCCGAGAACATGATCCTACGACCAAATAGGTTGGGCGATACTCCCGTGGATCGACCCTCTTTCCAGTACTCGCATGCGCCCCAAAACTCCATACAAAGCGTCCGCCGGATCCCAACTCCTGTTTTGGCCCAGCAAGGACCACGACACTCCGTACATGAGATTAGGCCGCTTCCAGCTATTCATGGCGTACCCGACTCCCCTGAACTTGATCAGAAGGACCCTGGTTTGGAGAACTACACTTATCCGCCTGCGAGTGCCACGAGCACGTACGGGGATGATACCACGGCTGTGGCAAGGTCACCTACATCATGAACGCAGAGGAACATTATTTATGATATTCTCCTACGTATACCTTCATCGCTGCCGTCTTCCATGTGCACTTATTTTAGACTTAACGTCTATTTTACTGAGGAATCTCAACCCATGACGCGACTATCGCACTGCTTCCCAGCTGGAAACATCGTCTGAGTCAGATGAGCTCCTAGTACCTCCGAAGATCCAACTGAGCTGGATAGTTGGACTCGCTAGCGCCCGGTGCGCTGATCGAGCCTGATTCTCGAGAGCCCAGATGTAACGTAGCTTCGTGGAGGGAAACATGATGGCAGGACTCGGGATGGGCACACACAGTAGTGCTACTAGTAGAAAACGATCAATTTTGAGTGGCTGTCCTCGACTTCCTCCCAGGTCGCAAGTGGACATCCAGGTCTGAAGAACTGTTAATGCAGCCGTTAATGGCATTTCATCCCGCCCGCTCATGACGGGTTCCTTTATTTCGTCCCTACTGTACTCTCTTGAGACACGCGCGCCTGTACACCTGGTTGTATGGTCATCACCTCCGGTCCAAGCTGGATTCCCCGACCAAGGACCATGCTGATACGTCGAGCCGGCCGTGCATAGGCAAGTATAAGAGGTATGAACTGAACAGGTATACTGGTGCATACCAACTCCGTCTCATCGGGCTCAAGCTCATGGCATCCGTCGTCCCGTCATTTATAATTCGCATCATGTGCACCCCAGGTCAAGTTGCACCATATGACGACGGCAGCAAATCAAACGGTGAGGTTTGGGAGCCTTGTCTGTGCACGGTGGCTGATCTGCCAGCAAGCAGAATGTGTCGATCGGGAATCGCAGATGACTCTGGTTTCTATAGCCACACCAGGCCGTAGCTTCTGGCAGGGCATCGGCTCCTGTGCATGCACACTAGTATGCCCCGAGCCCCTTCGAGATAACCGTGGCATCTGAACGCAATCTAGACCGCGTACTCGGGCACATTGTGCATGGGCATTGTGGCTACGACTCTGTCGTTAACTGAAGATTCGTACTTGCCAAAGCTGGCATCGGCGGCGACGATATGCGGAGAAGTGGGAAGTTTATTCGGCATGACAGGCTTGTTCTACAGCTGTAGCGAGCGTGGGCACGGAGACCCAATCTTCAGTATCTTGACCTCGCTATGCGCCGCGGCGGGGACAGTGTGCCTGGTGGTGGCGACCCAGGAATGGCCGGCTATGGCAATCTCGAGCGCTGTATACGTCTTCGTGACGGGGAGTACGATGCTATTGCGGTCAATATTCCCTATGGCTCGAAGTAGGGGACATTCTCAATAGGGCGATCCCTGACATGGGGTATCTGGCGCAGATGGTTGACAGAGGAGTTGCAGACAACGGAGATCAGAGCACTTCATATGTACGAGCGACAATGGATGATCATCATAGAGTGTACATAAATGCGCATGGGATTGCTAGTGGTGGTCCGAAGCCAAGAAGCGCGCTCAGGTGTTTCCGCGCTTCGTGCTGTGCACACGTACAGCACTCGCAGGCACTGCCCCGCGAACCTTGTATATAACTTCCATCTGCTATCAAGTCGCACGTCCATCGATACTACTTAGGATCTTCGCGACTACCATGGTCTCGCGTCGCCGCTCCGTCTCTAGCTCCAGCTCGTCTTCCTCTTCGTCGTCTGACTCTGGGAAGTCCGGCAAAAGCCATAAGAAGGACAAGAAGAACAAGAAGCATGGGAACCACTCCCAGTCTGGCCTGTCTGGCACTGCCCTAGGCAGTGGTGCCGCTTACGCCGCAAGCTCTCATCAAGGTAGCTCATACGGTGCACCCACGATGCCAATGCCCGGCCACGGCTTCCCAGTCCCCGCGCACGATATCAAAGGAGAGTCTGCGCCGCCCCCGGCGTACTCCACGCGCCCAGACCAGATGCCGCCGCCATCAGGATATCGCATCCCTCTCACTACGGATGGACCATTCCCCGATCCGACTGCCGCTCGTAACGCGCCTTTCGTCGATTCCGACGGGCGCAACCCGATCTTCGTCGGCAGCGCGCTGATGGGGAAGTCCGTTCACCCATGCAAGATTAGCCCCATGCTGAACCCGCCTTGCCGTGTGCCCTGGGGTGGCGGTGAGCTGGAGCACAAGGGGCGCTATGATCTCCTGCCGTTCGACCCCGCGACGATGGAGTGGGTGCGCACTGGCCAGGGGCGCATTCCTCCTGGACGTCGTCCCGTCGAGGGCGGATACGAGGAGGATGGGCACAAGCTGTACCATGCCGCGGCCAACATGAACGGGGTCGTTGTGCCGGGCAAGACGGCCGAACGGCTCGGTGGCGCGCACATCCCGTATGGTGGTGGGGAGCATGTCATTCGTGACAACTACGACATCTTGTGCGTTTTATACACGCTGCATCGTATAGGGAGACCCCAGCTAACCCCACGCAGGTGCTGGAAGTTCTAGTTCTAGGGAGAGTTGGGCTCCGCTGTACTCGAAGAATGGTTTAACGGAGTTCTAATGTTGTACGCTACGTGAATGTATCTTGCCCGCGACCTGTAGTCTCGAATGTTTGTATGATCACGATCCCAAACGCGGGAGAGTTTGCCTGGTCGAGTGCTTCGTTCTCTCCATTCACTCATGTTCAGATGAAATACTAGATGTGGATTGATGCCGTGAACTAAGTATAGGAGGAATGAAAGATTTACACCAGGGGCAGGACTAGCTTGCTGAACAAGCCATGGCGCTTAGTGAGGCGTCTAGAGCTTAACCAGAGCCTGAGGACAGCTGAGTCAATGCCTTTTCCTAATATTCCTTAAGAATATCACGTACCGCCCTTGTAGACCTTGCCGAACATGACGGCCTGGAGCGCATCGTAGCCGGCCAAGACGCCGGCGCTAGCAACACCACGGAAGATGTTGGCGCCTGCACCCTTGAAGAGCGACTTCGTGCCTCCCTGGGCAACGATCTTCCGACCGGCGTCGAACATGGACTTGTAGTGTTCACCAGTGCCCGAAGTCATCATCATACGACGACGGATAGTGTCGACCGGGTAGGAAGCCATACCCGCAACTGTGGTGACGGTCCAGCCGAGGAGGAAGGAGGCAAGGAAGCTACCCTCGAGGGGCCCGACGAGGACGACTGGTTCTAGAGGCTGAGATGAGCACCAGCGTTGTCCGGTAGGGGACCGTGAAACACGAACTTAGCGTATCGTAGCCGCCGAAGTAGACGCCACGGTATATGATGATGCCGACGAGAGAAACCGGGAATCCGCGGTACAGGCCGCTTACACCGTCGCTGGCGAGGGTCTTCTTATACACGTCGATGAGGCCGTTGAACTGACGCGCTCCGCCAGTAACGGTGGACTTCGCGTCGTTCGCAAGACGCGTACGCGCGTAGTCGAGAGAGTACACGAAGAATAGCGAAGAAGCGCCAGCTGCGGATCCGGATGCCATGTTTCCTGGAGAGCTGGTTGAAGACCGAACAGCAGAACAAGGAGATGAAGATATTGCTCACCGGCAAACCACTTCCACCAGCCTTCGCTCTTCTTGAAGCCAAAGAGCGACTTGAAGTAATCCTCTGGGATAATCTTCAGTGTGACTTTCAAAAGGATAGTACCCTGAGCGCTCACTGAAGGCGAAGTTCAGAGCCTGCGTCGGGAAGTACCGAATGACGTTCGCCGTGTTGCCGCGCCACAGTGAGAGAAGGCCCTCATCGCGGTATGTACGCGCGCAACAGTCAACGATGCCCTTGTACGGGTGCGACAGGCGTCCTTGCTTGATCTGAGAGAAGTGCGATCAGCTTAGATCGCTCCGGTGCGTACCCGGGCAGCATCAACGCACCATCTCATCTTGGTTCTGTATGAGGAGCTTAACGCGCTCTAAGGGCGCAGCAGCTGTCTTCGAGACAGCAGCAGAAACACCACCCATCATGAAGTCCGCTAATGGCAAGAAAGTGGCGAGTGAGCTCGCAGTACTGCAGAAACATAGGGTTGATAGGGTTGCGCACTGAAGAAATCCTTCGCGGACTTCTGCTTCTTGGAAGCGTCAGCCATAGGAGAGAGAAGGTAGAGAAGAGAAGAGGACTGAGTGGGGGTTGAGCAGACTAGAGACTTTGGCTACACAAAGCGCGGGACCTTTTATGGACAGCAGGTCCTGTGCTAACAGGGGGCAACGAGGTCGACAATCATCCAATGGCGGATGCAACCGTTGCGAAAGGCGCCTAACGGCTCCCCGTAGGTACCAATGAGCATGTGCCCTATAATGCAGTTTCTCATACAGACTGCATCATGGCGCGGACAGCACTAGGTGTATTGATATGAATAGCGATTGCTATAGGTCCAGCCGCTTCCGACGTGACCCGAACGGCTGTTATCCGTCGACACCGGTGATACAAGCTGTGGTATCGCCGTAGATTTAGCGATCCGTGCTTTGAAAACAGACGTAGCAGTAGTCAGTATAGGCCAGCCATCTATGAGGTATCGACGCTATCGCCGGCCGACGTCGCATCTCGTCGGCAAGAACCGACAGCACAAGTGCACACTTGGGCGCCTATGTTCAGAGTCCTGGGGTGGTCCTGGGACGCCCCATCGCAAGAACTCTGGCTCCGTCGGAGTGGTCCCGGGGCCCTTCGTATACCACAGATCTCAGTATGATGCAGGATGGGCGGAGGAGAAGAAAGACCGGATGGCGAGTTGCTGCATTGTGTAGCGCGTGACGTCACGCGTCTGGACCGACCGACAGCAACCGACAGCAACCGACGCGTCAGCGAGCTCACGCTACGAAGCCGCGGTTCGCTGCAGCTTCATTCCAACGTCCATCTCGTGTTGCCCAACTGTCTATCAACGGAGACTTGGATATGGCTACACTACCACCAGTGACTGTGCTACCACAAGCTACCGTCCAGGATACGTTCCCCGATGTCTTGAATGAAGTATACAATGGCACTATCATCGGAGAAGATATCTGGCTTTCGTGCTACAAGAGTGAAGAGCCATCTGTGCATGGAAAGGTATGAGGCGAGTAACCAGTATATATCCTCTGTTCTAAATGCCTTTGCGGCAGGTTGGCACCGGATTACACGCTGTAGATCGCGACACCGTCGAGCTCAGAGGAAGGGATGGTGTGCAGCTCGAACGCGCTAAGGATGTGCGTAGGTCTTGCTCTGCGCTTATGATAGCAGACGACATCTGATGGGCGCCAGATGTAGTTCACATACAGGGCGAGCTGCGAAGCGCTTGGTGTCGACACACAGGTGCTGCTGCCAGTGCAGACATACGCGGACCCTGTCCGATCTGAAACGAAGCTTGTGAGTTGTCTAGCGATGCCTCTTTGAATCCCAAAAGTGACATTAGATACTTCAGCCTCATCAAATATCAGCTTTTGACGTGACCGCCGATGCTTCACTACTGGCGTGCGCCTTCGCAGATGGCACCCTTACTGTACAACATCTGCCCGCACTTGCGTCTTCCGGTTCTCCATACCCGCCCAGGCAACAACATAGGGCAGACCCAGTTGCGTCGGGCCGCTTGCACCTTTCCACTATCGTCGCTGTGCAACTGCTACCGGGTCCATCACCTATCCTGGCTTCAGCAGGCGCGGACTTCCGGCTGCACATCACGCCGCTACCTGTACAGGGCCCCTCTGCGACGTCGGTGCTGCAACCGAGTGCAACGTTAACCGGGCACACTCGGGCGCTAACCTGTCTAACCGCCCTGGGAAACCTCGAGGGCATCTCTGGCGGTGTGACGCTCGCGTCCGGTGCAAAGGACGGCACACTCCGCCTCTGGGACGTTGCTACTGGATCGCAATCAGCCGTCCTTGGCATGCACGGCTTGAAGACACCCGCAGCTTTGGCTTCCTCACTTACGCAACCGCACACCATATGGACTGCGCTCTCGGATGGTAGCCTTCAGGCTTTCGATGTTCGAGCTCGAGCATCGGTGCAGATCGTCGAAGCCAATGCGCTCGGCTGCGGTCCGCTTGCCGCCCTTGACGCATACAATGACAGCGCGCTGCTACTTGGTGGCGGCCGCGGAGTTGCGGGAGTATACGAGCCACGCGCTGATCATATGCGAGCAAGGTGGACGCGGGGTGGTGCGCCCGTCGAGACTCGAGGCCGTCACAACTTTGCCTCAGGGCCGCGCGTTTATTGGCGGAGAAGATGGCCTTCCCTATATCGCAGCGATCGACGAGAACGTGCCAAGGCTGGAGGCGGAGCTTGTTTTCGGGGACGTCGAGGGCGTACGATCTGCGAGGGTGAGAGATAATGAACTATGGCTGGCCGGAGATGGTGGCGTAGTAAGGCGATACGCTTTGTGAAACCCGTTAGGAACGCCTGTACACTGCAAGCCCTCGTTAGCACCGGACTCCTTTGCGTCTTGCTATGGGAGCGATGCGTAGGACGAACGTAGAATAACTTAGTAAACTCGGAACGCACCCGGCGGACCGACCGACGGATCTTCCCAAGTAGCCGGTACCGTCACGTTCAGAACGCGCTCGGGCGCCGGGCCGAGAGGTGAACGAAGTTCACTTGGACGCGACTATGCATGTACGCGTCGGCATCGATAGTAGTATTTCTGGTTCTATCCCAAGCACTAGTACTATGTGACTTCTCCCAATACTGTCCGATGTGTAGCGACTGAAGCCGAGGATATAGCGACTGGGCAAGACAAGACGATGATCGACAGGCCCGCAGGCGCCCCGTAAGAATCTTATAATGACCGGAGCTTTACACAGCGTATGAGATGTGTTACTCTTCTCAAACGACCACTACCATCGATTCTATCCCCTTTGCCGCTCTCGCACGAGTCCTGCTCTGCACGCGACACCCGCGGGTTGAACGTTGATAGCCGAAAGCCATACGGACAAGTCCTCCCCTATCTCCGTGCGCCTCGACAGGTGCCTCGCCACACGCCTCCATTAAGAGATTGCGATGTCTTCTGAGGAAGAGGGAGGGACGAAGAAGCGGCGGATCGAGCGAGCGTGCGATACTTGCAGGTAGTGCCTTCACCGTCTGTCATGTCCGGCGCACTAAGCGCTGACATATCCTAGGAAGAAGAAAAGTATGTGGCTCCAGGTGTAGTGGCGACTGAGAGCTCACCTCAGTTTCGCGTAGTCCGTTGCGATGGCATGCAAGCGAACAAGAAGTGCAGCCACTGTACTGCCTTCAAGCTCAAGTGTACGGTGCGTAATATATCGGCGTCCATAGTGGTTGTCACTCACGGTGCCACTAGTACGTCGAGGCCGCGAAGGTGCGTCGTGCATACCGCGGGGCGGATTATCAGTAAGCTAAACGCAGACAGAAACGCGCGCCTCCCAAAGCGTCAGTCTCGCCGGGTTCTTCACAACGTCCTACCAATTCACGCGAGACGCGTAGGTATGTGGAGAGCCTCGAGGAACGGCTGAAGAACATGGAAGCTCTGCTCAAAAAGGTGCGCATATTGCCTTATATGTCTTTACTTGACTGAATGATCCGCCACGCGCAGATGTCCTCATCCGAGGCAGGGCCAAGCGGGTCGTCCGACCACCTGGACAGCGTAATGGGTCTCGGTGAAGGGTCCTCAACTATGCATGAACGCAAGGGCAGCGACAACAGTGCTCCCCGCACACCTTATGTGCCGGGTGTACCGAATGACGATCCCGAGCCGAGCGATGACGAGGCGGACGTTCTCTTAGGGAGGATGAACCTCAATAGCCGCTTCTTCGGTCGTAGCAGCGATGTCAGCCTTGTCAAGACAGCTTTGGATGTACGTCGAGGTTTCGTTGCGGGGGAAGTCAACGATAATGCGCCATGGCGTTTTCCGCGACGACGGCCGGAGCATTGGACCAGCCCTCCATGGCAAGAGGACTCGTGGGCTATTGGGACAGGATTCACCTTCCCCGACCCCGACCTGCTCATAGAGCTCGTCGACTTGTTCTTCACGCATAACAACACCGTTTTGCCCGTGCTACACCGGCCGACGTTCGACCGCGAGCTCGCCGAGGGTAAACACCTTCGCGAATCGTCGTTCGCCGTTGTTCTTCTTTGCGTCTGCGCGTGCGCTGCAAGATTGTCGGACGATCCACGATGCTTTATGGACGGGAGCCAGGATAAGGACTCGGCTGGATGGCGCTGGTTCAACCAGATGCGCTTTGTACCCAACACCGCCTTCAATCCGATGACAGTCAGTGACCTGCAAGTCTACACAGTATGTGGCTCCATCCTTATCGTCGCTACTTGCCAGGGCTAACCCGCCTCATACGCACCAGTTGAGGAGCATGTTCCTTCTCCAGGCTTCAACGCTCCAAGCGGCTTGGACGATGGTCGGCATCGGGATCCGGATGGGTCAGGATATAGGGGCGCACAGACGCAAACTCTACTCTTCTGGTCCAACCGTAGCCGGGGAACTACAGAAACGCGCTTTCTGGTAGAGTGGGTTCTGTCTTCACGCATATACGCAGGCTGATTGTAGCGATCAGGGTCATGGTGTACATCGACCGCACCTTGAGTGCTCTATTAGGACGCTCTTGTGCGATCCAGAGCGAAGAGTAAGTTCCATTGAACATACGATAGCAGTTCCCGTCACTCAAGCTTGAACTGCTCTTCAGTTTCGATCTGGAGCTACCCCTTGACGTCGACGACGAGTATTGGGAACCTGCGGATGGCTCGGAGCAGTTCAAGCAGCCTCCAGATCGACCAACGGCTGTCTCGGCCTTCATCCACCTTTTAAAGCTTAGTCAGATACTGAGCTTCACATTGCGTTCAATCGTACGTCGATATATCTTCTAAGACTCGAACATAGGCTCACCACTTGGCAGTACTCCATACAGAAGTCCAAGGTATTCCTCGGCTTTGTTGGGCCAGACTGGTCAGTGTCCATGCTAGTAACTTGAACCCCTGGCTGATACCCCATACGTCAGGGAGCATAACGTCATCGCCGAGCTGGACAGCGCCTTGAACAAGTGGCACGACGCAATACCTGAACACTGTGCGCTGCTCATCGTCTCTCCTTCACGCGGTCCTTAACCAATGTCTACAGTACGATGGAATCCGAATATACTAGGCGATCCACTGTTCCAATCATTGAGTGCCAGTCTCATCACCACATACTATATCACCCAAATCAGCGTGCACCGGCCGTTCATGATGCGCCGCGACAAGACCCAGTCTGCGCTCAGTTTCCCCAGCACTGTCATCTCCCTCAACGCAGCGCGTGCAGCTGTGCGAGTCATCGAGTTCTTTCAGGCAAACCCACATCTCGCACGGGGTCCGCCTCTATTCTTGGTGGGCGCCTCTTTCTTACGCAGATGAGTAACGAGCACTGAGGTTCATATTAGCAGCCCGCAGCATTCACCAGCGGTAAGAAAAGATCAGTAAATCCACCGTCTATCTTGCTAAAGCGCTCTTTAGGCATCTTGCTGCTGCTCAATATGTGGGCGAGCAAACGGACCGGAGCGCCCGTTGATGTGGTGAAGGATCTCGAATACGTGCGTGTATGCATGGATTGGATCAAGGCTAGCGAGAAGCGGTACGACGGTCTCTTCTATAACCCACCTAGCGTCATATGCTGAACTTCACCAGGTCGTACATGGCTGGCCGAAGTTGGGATATCCTCAACGAGTTATCCAGCTTTGGTGAGGCCTTCTTTGGCGAACAAGATGAGGCTCTGAAAGCCACCACGGGAGAAGAACCCTCGCCGGGCTCGCAACCCTCAGCAGCGCCTTCGCGCTCGACGGACCCGGGACCGTCGTCCGATGCATCCCCGGACACGGAGAGCGCATTCGCTTCGCTCCACAGACCAATGAGACCATATCAGCGTACGAGCCCATCGACATCGACTCCGGGTACCTCTTCCGGCGCTTCCGCTGGTCCTCGCCGATTCCCGTTCGATTCTCCTTCTCCAAGCGACGACTTTTCCGCCCCTCAGATGTACGGCCAGCGACATTCGTCAAGCCGACCTGAAATGCAAACACATCCAAACTCCTTTACTTCGACATGGCCGGGACATTCGTCGCAGAATCCTCCGGACTTCGTACCACGTCCAATGGTAGTTCCTTCTCAGAACCCCCTCGACTTCCCGAGCCCGCAAGACTTTACCATGCACGACGGTAACCTTGGGGCGAACATGTATCCCGGTGCATCCTCTTCGCAGCGTCAGACTGCATTCGGCATGTCAAATGAGCGCGGAGCGTACGGTGGAGTCCCGAGCGAACGCGGGGCGGGCATGTTCGGGTTGCCCCCGTTCGGCGCTGGCGCTGGCGATAGCGGAATGTTCGGCAGCATGGCAGACATGATGGGCTTCGGCTTTCAAGGTCCAGGAGGCATGGGCGGTATGTTTGACCAATGGGGCGGTGGGATTGGAATGGGCGGCGGCATGTTCGGTGGGAATGCACAGGCCGGTGGTGGTGGCGGCATGAACGTCGACGCGGACCCTATGAACATGCTTTGGGGTATGCAACAGGCTGGCGGGTAAGTAGCAAATAGGTTCTACGGCTGTGTAGCTGTACTGATGATTGTCACAGGGTCGGAGACTTCCAGAACTACATGTCGAGTATGCTCGATCCGCCCGACGCCAGCCAGATGGGCCAACCTGGCCAACCCGGACCGTCTGGTCAGCGTCGCGGACATAGTAACAATCAATAACATACGTCCATGTATCACACATACTGTAGCTGGCTTCTCATTCTCTTGCATGCATATGATTCCGGTGCTTTCGCGCACATCGCGAGCTATCGCGAGCAGCGAACCTATTGACAAGTGTCCATGCACAGGCGTGCTAGCATAGTTCAGTCACAGGCGCAGCCGTTGATGGGGGCGGTTTACGATCAGATATGGCGGACACGTTGCATTGTAAACTGAATGAGGTCATATCGGTATCTCGATTCGGCATTGACCGATGTGAATGGTGGGAAGACGCTACTCGCCGTTTATAGCTACCTTAAACTGCATCTATCTGCGCATTCGCACCTGCCGTCAGGCCGCTATGGCGGCCGCACCACCACCTCAGCAGGCCATCGCGGAGCGCGCTGAGATTCACAAATCTTGTCGCGCTCTGGAGACGGTCGTAAACATCTTGAACGATTACTCTGAGGCCGCTCGCGCCATTGTCACTCTTCAGAAGAAGCTTGCGAAAGCTTTGCGGGACGCATCTTCATGTAAGGCTACCGGGGACATTGCGAGTGCGTGTGCTATATCATATGTGTGGTATCAAATCTGACGGATGTATAGGTAATGCGTTTAGTTCGAGTGCGAGCCTGTTCGACGCGCTGTCCGAAATCGACTCGAAGTTCGCAAAGATTACGGACAAAGAGTGCGATGCAGTGACCGGAGAGGTCAGGAAATGGTTCAAGAAGCTTGCTGTGCGTTTATGTACTGTGCAACATACACTTGCACTATACTTACGGCCCGCTAGAAAGAGGAGAAAGCCCATGACGACCGTATGGCGGCTGTGAATGCACGAATAAAGGCGGCCGGTGTGTGACATGTGCAATCTCGTGCCCTCCGACATTTACTTGAGCACTTATTTAGGCGCGTCCTACGAGAAGAAAGCCAAGAAGAACAGCTACGACGCTGCCGATGAGCATACGCGATACATCAATCTCTTGACTTCATTAGGACCAGAGTTGACGCAGGAGAAATAGTGTGTCCACCCACGTGTTTGCGAAGCACAGCCGTATACTGAGGCTTGCGCAGCAACCACCAACTGGGCGTCAGTCAGCGCAGTACCGCTGTGACCTACAATGTTGCGGGAACAGTCGCACGCTTGGCAGATGCGGAATGGCTTCGTTCAACAGAAGGTGTCCGCCGCTTTGCACCGCTCATCGGGTCAGTCGGGGAATGGCGAGCCTTGTGCGAGGGTGGCTGGACCGCGGCGCTACCAGAACCACTACCAGATCTGGACGCTCCAGCTCGCTCCCAACCCCAGGCGCAATCAGGTAAACCCGATCCATATCTTATTTGTTCACCCGCTCACTACTGTATAGGTGGATCGCCGCTCCCTCAGTATATTGTGCCTTCCAATGTACTTGCGAATCTTCAACCACGAACGCCAACCGAACAGGCAAGGTCTCCCCTGGATCAACCGCGCACGCCGACGGAACACTTGACGCCCAGTGCTGAAGACAACCCGCCCATGAACGCAGAAGATCGGAACAGAACACTGTCCATGGCTAACTTGGCTTCCTTCCCAATCCCGCCAACTCATTTCCCTTTGCCGCCTGTCAGCAAACCCTCTACGCCTCTGGCTGAATCACCGATCAAACAGCTCATGGCGTCGCCATTGGCAAATACACCACCGCTTGAGTCCCGCACAACCTCTTCATCTGGTACTGTGTTCTCGGAGGGAAGCGCATTGTCCAAATCATCGGAGTCCTCAACTCAACCCAGTACTCCGGCGCCTGCCGAAGAACCCCGATCCATGCCATTGCGACCACCTGAAGCTCGTGAGAACGTGCCATCGCCGTCTTCATCCTCTTCGGCCCCGCGTAGCCGGTCAGAGCCAGAGAAACCTCGAGACGAACAGCCCTCCAGACCATCTCGGCCTACCACACCTACAGGACCTGCACCCGGCTTCAGACCGTCTTCGCCAACAAAGCCATCCACGCCATTCTCCCGAGATCGCGGGTCTGCATCATATGGACTTAATCCTTCACGGACAGGCTCGCCCCGCTTGGGCACGACCGCCAGCATACTGCCCAAGGGCGACTATCTCGAGGATCGCGACTTCTCTCCAACTGCCGGCCCAGATAAGGCTCGCAGCCTTGACTCCGTTACACCGAGGCGCGGCACGTTTGACCGCACGGATACCATGAGGAGCACTGGAAGCTCGACCTCTATCGCACGCGATAAGATGGCGCGGACAGTACGTTCACTGTTGATTCTTGCTGACATGTACAATCACTAACCAACTTTAGACTGGACCAGGATCTCCGCCACCTCGAGATATCCCTCGCTTAAACCAATCCGTAACAGAGATCGCCTCTAAGTTCCAGCAATCCGGCTCGGGGCGGCCACCTTTGTCACCCGCCGATGATGGACCACTAAGGCGCTCGTTTGACGCGTCTACGGCCAGGCGCTCGCAGGATCTGGGCGAGATTCGCGGAGTGCGCCGCTCCGTCGATCTCGCGGAACCGTCCTCTAACTCGACACGACCAACGACTATGTACGTGGACGACCTGGAGAGGCGACGAGCGCGTGTAGCAGAGCTTGAAGAGTTGGAGCGTCGAGAACGCGAGCTCGAAGATAGATCCCGGGATCGTCGATGGCGGGACGAGGGATTACGACGGCCTGATGAAGAGCGTGGAGGGCTTGGGCGTCTACGAGAAGAAGATGAACTGGCCTCAAGCACAAGGCGATACGGACATTCGCCTGATCCCACATACCGCTCGCGCCCACCGCAACGGGAAGATGTCCGACAACGACCTGGCGATCGTTCTCCTCAACCATCATCGCGAGATGGATACAGCAGTGACGCGGGGCGCCCATACGCCAACAATCGGCCTATGTCCTCGGGCGCTCTCCCCATCGCGACCCGTTTCTCACAAAGTACGACGCATCTCGCACAGCCCCAGCCCTCTTCCGCGGGCGGCCTCAGCTCGCGCACACCATCCGATCAACCCTTCCCTTCACACTCACCCGCGACAAGCCCTGGCCTCGGCGTCAGTACACATCCTGGTAACTGCACTTGCCCTGCATGTACGGTCGAGCGCGCGGCGAATGGCCAGCCACTCGAGACGCGCGAGCGTAAGACGTCAGGCTGGCGAAGGCGGTTGAGTATGCCGGTGATCATACCCTTCACTGGCGATGGCAAGAAGGACAAGGGCATATCCGGCGGGAAACCTCTAGGGCACCAGCCCAACTCCAGCGTCACCAGCTTCGGTGTACGACGGTCATGAGCTTCATTCTTGAACGATTTTACGACCCTTTCCTTTTGGTTATTGGTTACGCATGTCACTGTTGCTTCAGCTCTGCTTTCATCTTGCTTCTACATCGGCTCTCCCTATACCCGAACTACTTTCCGGCACTTTATCCCTGATCAGACTCGGACATCCACGTCTTTGTGCTTGACAACCCTTGCTTTGATTTGTATGTTTCATACCCTCCACGGCTACTGTGACATCTCTATGCATAGACTCTTTGACGAATAGTGATGACCCCATCCCAATACTAGCTTTCCCAACGTCGCTGGTTGCGTCGCTCTGAATGTTCATGTTCGCCCCGTTTAGAGATAATACTCAGACGCGCAGGTGAGAAGTTCGCACACCTTAGAGTACTGAGAGCGTTTCCAGGTGCGCTGCTAACGCGCCTGGGGCCTATATGCGCAGGCATAAGTAGGGACAGGCTACTACGCAGGACTGGGCAGCGCGGTCACCATCAGGGTGTGGGAATAGGCCGAGCGGCCATCAGACGGTCCGAATGGCAGAAATCAAACCTGCCTCTTTACCGTCACAACCTAAGGACCTGTAATTGTTTATCCGCCGTCTCCAACACTATCTACTCGGCCTATCACTCTTACTGTATTCTAATCTGTCGGATAGTCAACCCATTACTTCCGGGCACCAATGCACTCGTTCCCGAGGCCCATCGCGGCCTTACCGGCTCAACATGAACGTGCGCCTGAGCCTGAGCCTAGCGCTCTGATATGGGGTGAGAAAGCCGAGGGAATATGCATAAGCTTTTGAACCCCGTCTAAACAAATCTCAGGCAGTGGTCCAGGCCCTCCAAGAATCAATCATGCCTTGCCTGGTTGGAAGGAAGAGAAGGCGGCAATCGAGCGCATGTGGGCGCTGTATCTCGAAACTGTGCCGTCTGTCAAGGAAGAGGCCGAACAGTGGAAGGGCGACGCGGATGGAATCATCATATTTGTTAGTACTTCGTGCTATCGTACGTCTTCCGCCGGAGCAGCGCGCTAATGTCTCACGGCGCGTAGACTGGTCTTTTCTCTGCCATGGTCGCTGCCTTCGTCATTGAAAGTTACAAATACTTGTCTCCAGATCCCTCGAATGCTACCACCTTGATATTGGCCCAGATATCCCAGCAACTAGCCTCCGTAGATGGCTCTACGCCTGTCAGCACTCAACTGCTGAACGGCATATCTACGTCTACGGGCGCGTCCAGTGTCCGCGTGAATGTACTCTTGGTGCTATCGCTTTGCATCAGCGTCACATGCGCGCTTTTTGCTGTTATGGTACAGCAATGGGCTCGGCGCTTCCAGCGGATCTGCGACCGTCGGTCTCAAGGCAGCCAGTCGTCGCAGGCACTAGCCCGGGTGCGCCTGCATCTCGCACCTATGGGTCTACAAGTTCAAAACTTCATCTCGATGCTTCAACGAAGCCTGCATATCGCCGTAATACTCTTCTTTGCGGGCCTTATCGAGTTCTTTTGGCCCATCGACATCAGCGTAGGGAGGACAGTACTCGCTATGTTAGTCATTCTGGGAGCCATGTACCTCTCCCTCACGGTTTACTCGTTCACCGAGCCTACATCTCTCTTCCAAACACCTTTGACACAAAATGTCTTCGAGGTGTTCGCCCTTACTTCCAACACGATCTACTCGGTCTTCAGCGGCCACGGAGCACGTAGTGTTCTCGAAGCTCTAAGGCGGATGTTTCTCCCGCTCGGGCCTCTCACCGTCGAAAAGTTCAACAGCAGCAGACACTTTCTCGTCGCATTGTCCCGACATGGACATCTCGGCTTCGACGAAGCGATGACGCTAGCCATCAACGAGGGGCCTCTGGGAAGCCTCGAGATCGATGCCCTAGTATGGCTGTTTCAAGCGTACCGCGCTGGTTCCCCCGAGCAGCTGTTTCGTGGCGCGGGCATCTGCTTTGTGGGTCTTTGCACCATCTTGGGCATGTATCTGCCTTCTAAAGGACAAGGTGTACCCATCGCACCAGAAGCACTTGATCTTATCACGAAGCTGTACCAGTCGCCGGCGCCCGATGCATGGACCCAATATTTTGACTCTTGGGAGTCGTGGCTGGTCCATGTGACCCGAACATGCGATCTCTCGACACCAGCCAGTGTTCATTTCACCGTCATGTGCTTCCGCATGCACTGGTTCGTGCTGCATGGCACCTCCATAGTGTTACCGCCTATTTCAAACACCCTCGTCAATTCTGGAAGCCAGTACGCAACGAACGACCGCCCTAACTTCGCACTATATAACACATTGCAGACGTTGCGCGAGCACTTCTCCGTAACTGTTGCAATAGTGGCTCGCTGCTTGCAGGCTCGCATCGCCGCGGCGCTCGATGCGAGATGGGCAATACCCGGTCCTGGTGTGAGCGACCACAACAGCGACCTATTTTGGAACTTTATTTCCGTCCCTCGGACGTTGGCCCAGAATGCCCGAGCTGACCCTGCAGTGTACGCGGCGACATGCAATCGCGCCATCCTTATCGTCATCGCACTCGTTCAGGACACCCTCGACGCTGGGCGCTTGCGGAGCGTTTCAGGCAGCACGAGACTGCCACCTTTGCGGCGAGGTGCGGGACCAGTGCTCAAGACGATCGACACGCTTCAAGCCTGCATATTCGAACGCACCGCCAATCCGCCATTGCTTATGCTCATTGACGCGCTCGAAACGTACTACCTTGAGACCAGAGTGTCTCTCCTACCTACTCGCGACGAGGGTCCTGCATACGAGAACGAGCGCGCGCTTTTAGCTGCTCTGGAGGGCATTCTGTGGCGTCTCGGGCGACCCGAGAAAGCCGAGGCAGACAACCCGACCACGACGCCCCGCGAAGGCAGCGGTCACACAACCCCGCACGAATATCTCCCGTCGCTCAGACGTGGCGAAGATATGGACATAGACAAGGAAGATGTCTAACTTCACAATGCCGTCAGGAGGCGACTTGTCTACCGATTCCGGAGTATCTCTACGTCTTGGGAGTACGAGGGACTTCCCATATCACCCTTGCGCTGACGCACCGCCACAACCGGGCTGGATACACGATAATTATTGCAGCCACGGCAAACTATCAGATTGCCCTTGCTCGCCTGTCTGCGAGCTGTAACCTGTATTATATTATTGACGATAAACGTGATGCTCGTGTACCATACTACGTCCACTAGACACAAATCAAGTGATTACTGCGGCAATTCGAGCCATTCGTCCAAATCCTTCCACAGGTTCTCCTGCGCCGTGGTCCACTCCTTTTCCCATTCCTTTTGACAATCCGGACACCATTCCATCGGATCGGCCTTAGCTTCACGGAAAAGCAATGTTTTGAGCTGCCTGTATCCGCCGATGGGATCAAGATAGTAGCGCCACATCATATCCTCCTTTGCCATGAGAGTCCACCATTTGTTGAGGCGTGTACCATCATGGCGCACCGGACACCCTTGTAAGAGCGGAGCACACTTGGTGGCCAGTTTCGTTGGACCTTTCTTCATGATACCTGTCCAGTGCAACGAGCACTTCTCACGAGCATGCGTGAGTAGTCTATAGTCCGAGATGGACAGAGCGGAGTCCTCTCCATCTTGCCCGAAACCCGGTAATCGCATGAGTTCGTATAGCGCGCGTTTGCGGATGGTGGGCATATCCAGAATGCGGGAGAGTTCAAGGGCCTCTTGAGCATGGTCACGAGAGCCGCGTTCAATATCGGCAACCTCGACGGGCCATGTCTCTTCCAGCCGTCCAGTAGCCCAGGTTAATGCTTGATCGAAGCCAAGAAGCTTAGCTGCACGCGCGACGGCAGCAATGAGGGCAAAACTTGGTGTGTTGCGCCTAGCGGAGCTAAAAGCAAACAAAACGATGAGGGTAGTAGAGAAAACATAGCGTGTCTGGGTGGACTTACAAGGGATCCTCCACCATGCTCAGCAACGACGAGAAATCGAAGAGCTTCAGACCTTTCACCCGGATGACATACAGTGGGCATGTATTCCCATCGGCTTCGAAGTCTTCGTCCGGCGCGCCTTCAAAGAGGTCCTGAAGGTACGTAGACTGAGAAGCCAGACGAGAGCGGTGCAGCTTGAAGAGGGTTTCCGCAACTGACAGCACGACGGAGCCGTCAGAGTACCAGAAGGTTGGATCTCGATCCGGTTCGTCGTCGAGAGTCAGATATTGGAGTGAGGAATTGCGAGGTTTCTTGGGTCGAGGTGCAGACACTTCTTCGATATCTTCGGCGGTTGCCTCGCGCTTGACGCCTTTCGACTGCGAAGATGGCGATCCAGTAGGCGTCGTAGGAGATCCAACAGAAGATTGAGGGCCTAGAATAGATCGTATAAGCTTCACATGCATCACTGTCCGGGTTGGGATACGTGCCAGACATGTCGGAGTAGGGAGACAGAAGTCACTCGTGGTGGTGGAAGAGGCGAGCGTTCGGGTGGTTCAGTCCGCGCGACGCGTTGACGCGACTCGGGCGTTTCCGCGCCGTGACGTCACGCGTCAACCGTTGATTGCATTGAGTATAGATTGAACGGTGAATATTCAGATTTCGCTCGTAGTGCAGTATGCCATTGTTAGAAATGCATGTACCCCTCCTGATAAAACTCGACGCAAGTCTCTACCACTCCTATCACCTCTCAGCCCCATCTGAATCTTCACGCCTCCTCGTCACTCTCATACACCTTCTCAGCACCAGGTACGCCCGTCGCCTGATTGAAGATCGCAAGAATGAGCTCGTTCACGGCGGCCTTCTTTGCCGTCAAGAACGCCTCGTCCGCGTACCCTCCCTCTACCAGCCGGCGCCGGACCTCCTTCGCGTTAATCGTCTTCAGGTCAACGTCTGGCGCGGTGATGACTTTGCGGATGGGTCTGATGAGGTCCAGAACGTTGCCGCTGACGCAGGACGCATCGTGTGTGTGGTCGGTGTTGTGCGAGTGAGACATAGTGTTCGGTGTTTGCACGGGTTGAACAGAGACTCTGGCGAGTAAAAGATGGGTGGTGGGATGTTGGATGGGCGCAGAAGGCAGGACGCGTCGTAAGGGACCCTTATATCATCCTTTAGTTCCGTTTACCTCGTGAGTCACGAGAGGTTGCGATGCAATGTCTCACGTAGGTCATCGGAAGCATCTGCCTACATATGCAGTAATATGCAGCAGAGATCAAGACGCGCGAGCAAGATCAGATATCGGGGTGATGGGCCCGCACAATGCGAAAAAGAACTAGGATATACACAGTATGTTGGCTATTCCGGTACGTGGTACAATAAACCTATGCACCCGACTTCCAGTAGGCGATGTCGCCGTCGACCACTGTCGACATACGTCAGAGATGTGCATCAAGAAGAGAAAAAGTCGAGACGTACTCTCATACGGCTTGCCCTGTTGCCTGAGCTTGCCGGCAGCCTTGACCGCAGATTCGCTGCCGTACTCGTGCAAGTCGTTGTACGACATGATCTCACCACACACGAACTTGTTCTCGAAGTCCGAGCTGTCAACCGCGTCAGCCTAGCAGAAAGAGAGAGCTCGAGCGAAGAACTGACTGGATGACACCGGCTGCCTGAGGCGCTTTCGTCCCTTGGCGAATGGTCCAAGCGCGAACCTCATCCGGGCCGCAAGTGAAGTAGCGGATGAGATCCAAGCTCGTGTAACCGGCGATGGTGATCTTGCCGAGATTGCTCGTCGCGCCGACCTTCTTCTCCTCCTCAGCCTGCTCCTCCGGAGTCATCTGTGCAAGACGCTCCTCGAACGCAACGGAGAAGGGGATGAGCGGGTCGCCGGGGTTGTTCTCGTCGATCCATGCCTTGATCTTGGGTAGCCACTTGTTCTTCTTCCTGACGTAGTCCTTCTCGCTGAGGTTGACGAGGTAGGTGATGGGCTTGGCGGTGAGGAGGTGGAGGGTGTTGATGAGTTCGACCTGGGTTGAGAGTTAGTGTTGATTTGCGGATGCGAGGGTGACGTGGAGAAGGAGGGATCAGAGTATGATTTTATCTCATGAGCATATTGGGGCGTTACTCCCGCTTCAACGAGCTGGGTTAAATCGAGCATATCGCTCTTTCTCATCTTGCAAGCGCGTGGGGTATAACGTGGGGAACGGAGCTTACCTCTTTCGGGTTCCAGTTGCCCTTGCGGACGTCCTTGCCCTCAGTACCGATCATATTCAATACACGCTCGATGGTTGCCTGCAGAAAATACCCGTCAATCAAAGCTCAGGAAGAGTGATAGGAACGGCCCACAATCTCCTCCTTCTTCGCCTTGTCCGCCAGCGAAGTGCTGTTGAGCGAACGCGACGTCTTTTTCCTGCGCTCGAGCTCCTTCTCAACCCACTCGGCGTCCTTGAGACGCAACTCTGTCGAGATAATCTCCATGTCGCGAATGGGATTCACGTCACCCTCGACGTGGATGACCTCGGCGTCATCGAAGGCACGGACGACCTGGAAGATACCGTCGACGTCGCGGACGTTGGCGAGGAAAGCATTGCCAAGGCCGGCGCCGGTTGATGCGCCGGCAGTCAGACCGGCGATATCGATACAAGTCAGATGTGCTGGCACGCGCGACTTAGGCTTGTAGGTCTCGCATAGCCATTCAAAGCGGGGGTCGGGGACATGGACGCGGGCTTCCTATGACACGTCACAAACTCATCCGCATGACTATACTATTGTGGACGCACCTCAGGCTCGATCGTAGCATATGGGAAGTTGGCGGACTTTCCAAGGTCTATTGATCGGTCAGTATTTGACAGCAGGCGCTGTGACGAAGAAGCATACCGGTCTTGGAAAGGGTGTTGAAGAACGAGGACTTGCCAACGTTCGGGAGACCTGTTCGCCAGAATTGAGTGACTAGTCACGCTATACAGGTATACGATACACACCGACGATACCGATCTTGAGGTTGTTAGATGGACGACCGAGAAGAATCTTCTTCTCGGGCTGGGCAGCCTTCTTCGGGGGCATCTTCTTTTTCACAGAGGCGCAAGCGGCCGGTGAGGAGGAAAAATATCTACAGGGAAAGAGTGGAGGCCGGGTCGGTGGTGGTCGTAAGAAGAGTCCGCGCTGGGCGGCTAGGCCGAGCAAACCTGAGCGCAATCGATCTTGCATCGCTCAGAAAAATCCGTGAGTCCGATGCTGCGTGACGTCGAAAATCGGAAAGGAAAATTCGGCCCGCGTCTGGAAGGTCGGTTCGCACGCCTCCGTTCATCCGTCGTTCGGGTTGATGCGGTGCCACTCCGCTTGCACCTTGACCACCACGAACTACCACAGCTTGTTTCCTATCGCGTTCTCTTCAGCACAGCCTCTGGCCACTATTGTCTTGCTGTAAACCCCGAATTAAGGACTGCATGAGACGCAGAAGTCAAGGCAGGGCGTCCGTCACTACAGAGTCCTCACCGATGCCACCGCCTGATTCACCGGCAACTTACAAACGCGAGCGCTCCGAGGATGGCGAGCAAGATGATACCACGGATACGTTCTCAAAACGTCAACGAGTAGACTCTCCACAGCCCGACCCAACAGATAACGGAGATCAGATGCTCGATCAAAATAAGGCGACCGACGTCGAAGCCACAGCATCGCCACTCACCATCCCGTCGGACGAAGAACAAGACGCACAAGTAACGACGAAATCGTCGCGGTCTTCTAGTCCCGATGAGTCTGCTCCAACTCCCCACGAGCGCTTCTGGTTTGATGATGGCAGCGTAGTCGTTCAAGTCGAGGACGTACTCTTTAGGCTACACAAATCTCTGCTCAGCGCTCAGTCTTCCTACTTTCGTGACCTTTTTGCGGGCCAGATTTCCCAGCCCACAGATTACGATGCTGGCTCTGGAGACACTCTACCGCTTTATGTGCTACCTGAAGGGGATCTGAAGATTACGTCCGTCTACGATGTCGAGGAGTTACTGGATGTCCTTACGAAGCCGCACACGAAGTACGTCCGCATTGAATCTCTGGCTTTTCCCTTGCAATGACGTCCGTCGGTGGCAGTGCCCGGAACCATTCCTCAACGACACTTTATGCTATCGCGCGAGCGGCACATGAACTGGAATTCGACGACACGCATGCATGGGCTGCGCAGGAGCTTCTTGATCAGTATTGGTCGAATGATCTGAATATCATTCCCAGCGAGCCAAGATCGGATGGCCCCCACGCGGCCCTCCACGTCCTGCAAGTCGCGACGGACGCCCATATCCCGCTTATTCGTAAAGCAGCTCTGTACGACGTGTTGCGGTTGCCCGACTTCGGGCAAAGCACCAAGACCGCAGCTCGGCTCCGACTCGCCGACTACGAAATTCTGACCCGAGCAAGACATCATTGCGCGCAGGTTTGGATGGACGTACTTACTGTGCCCCCATGGCGAAGTCAGCAGTGCGCGGATGAGGAAAGGCAGTCCAAAGATCCGATCTGCGCGGCGCGGAGCAGCAGTCAGCGAAAGCACAGGTGGAACACTCTTATTCATTCTCAGAACTTGCGCAAATATTGGATCGACCCCGTCGCCGGATTCCGGCATCTGCAGGGCATGAGTATCCCTATGGATGAGAAGACGGGATTTTGCTTCGACTGTAGGCAAGCCTGGCGAAACAGCTGGAAGCGAAGGTTGAATCAACTGTGGGATGAACTGGATGAGGTGCTAGGGTTGGTACCGAAGAAGGAAGCCGAGAATGAGGTAGAGCCCGCACCGGAAGCGTAACTTGCTGTGGCGAAATTCAAAGCGGAGTGGCAGCGGCATCATGTACATTATGACATATCTTAATACTTGCATGTTCGCGTCTGTCAAATGCGACACCTTTGGTCGCAATCTAGGCAGTTATGTGCAATATTAAATATGTACATAGATCAGTGAATGGGCATGCGGAAAAGCAGACCGCAGAATCGCACGCGCCGCCCGCCCGAAGGCGTTCGCGCGACTTTCGTTTCGGCCATCACCATCTCTCCAGACCGGACAACGCGCTCGGCACCACTATGCAGACTTGAAGACAAGGCAACTCTACTACCAATACCTCTTCTCCCACTCGACCAGCAGGCTCGCCTGCTACTTTGAAGCGCGCCAAACCAGACGACAAACCTACACCTTCTGGACCCAGCCAGAGTAATAAACGACCTCGGCTAGACCCTTTGGAAAGCGGCACTACGGGAGACGGGGATGTGACGCTTGTTGGAGAGCTTGACACTGAGGGCAATCTTCCTAACACGGACACGTTAAAAGTCAAGAGCCTCACTCCTCCGCTACACCTCAGGGTTCCGCCCACCGACCCTTGGAGCGTCATAAGAAGTTCTTTCACGACGACGGTCGTGTGATCATCCAGGTCAACCGTATGCTCTTCAGGCTACACGAGACGTTGTTGTCGCTCCAGTCATCTTTCTTTCCTGAACTCTTCGTTCTCCGGCTTCCTCGAGATTCGCAAGAGCGCTTTTTACGGACTATTACGATCACCGGACTTCGGACAACGTGACGGCGACGCCTCCCTCCTTCGGCACAGTGGGGCCGACGGGAAAGATCATTGAAGTAATCGAGACGGCAATATGTCATTATAATTCTTGTAATGTATGTAGCACCAATTGACCCGCTACGTCCCTGTTATGGCCATTGAGCAGTGCTAGCCCCGTTGAAAATATCCCGTCATGGCGGAAGTCGATATAACCTATCTAGTCAGAAAGGTTCGTGCGTGACTCCGCGCTGAAGTCGCTCAGCTCCACTTCAGTTCTTCGCGCATTCCATTTGTATGAGACAGTTGGACTGAGGGTGCGGTTGAGCTCTTCCCAAGGCGATAAGAGACTGGTTTAAAACTCACTTCACGGTCTCCGTATAATGCGTGGAAAGCGCACGATACATGCGTGTGGCACCGATCACAAGAATGATCAACTCCGGAGCGAAGAACATCTTGAGGCATGCTGTCAGCATTTCAGCGAGTCTATATCTCGGGCAAGTCCGCTCACCAGATTCATGACTTCTGCAGGCGTGTTAGTAACAGATCACAGTCATTGAACAAGCCGGCGCACGATTCAAGTTCAGCCACAGGAAGATCACCGTAGGAACCTCGGCGATAGTTGCCAATAAGAGCCAGACGATACCCTGGTCATAGAGGCTTCAATAACCGATTGTATCAGGATGGAGTGGCACCCACTTGATTCCATAGAAGCTGCCATAGGCTGGAGTGGGATAAATCGTGCCGCAAACGCAAAAGACCAGTGAGCATCGAAAGGAAGAGGAAGATATCGGTGACCGATATCGCTGTCAAGAGCTTGTTCCGCTGGGTCTGCACCGCGATGCAAGTGGCTTCCTCGGGTACCCAGATGGCATCAGCCTGTCACTTGTTGAGAGATGTCCACGAAAGTGTCCGTTGATGAGGACTTACCACGACTATCTCTGAGAACGGTGTCAAGGCTGAGATAGACTTGCTTGACGAACGCTTACGCACCGTGAATGAAGAAGGCCGTCTCGGCTGCGATTAAAACAGCACTTGAATACATGAGATACCGGGACTGGTTCCAGATGGCGATCCTGGCAAAGAGGTTCGTGAGAAGGTTGCAAGGGCATACTTATCCACCATCGGCGGACTGGACTGGGCAGAGCTTACGACCGAATAGCTATCAGCGTCGATGCCAAAATGATGGTTGAAGATGCTGAGATCTGAAGTTGTCCATGAGAGAGACTCAGCAGAGCCTGTGCATTCCATAAAATCACGTACATATGTGAAGATCAGCCAGACCTGTACGGATTGTCAGCGCTCTATCTCGGAGCATCGCAGGTCGTCACGACGCGCCTTGCAATCAATCTTGAGAAAGGGTAAGCATCCATAGTTCAGATACGGGAAGTAGGGAGATCGACTAACCTTGGATGTAGCATCGAAGCCGATGATAAAGATGATGAAGGCCGGTAGTGGGATGTAGCGGCAAGACAGGTACACCTGTTTACACGTCAATCTTCATGTGCACCTAGGTTGAGGGAAGAAGGTCCATACCCACTTGGCTATGAGCGACGATCCCTGCTGATGTCTCCGCTGAAGCAAGTCAAGGTCGAACCACACGCCGCCGAGCAGCTCCCAGATGTAGAGACCTGTCAGAGCATGCTGAAGCTTAACGAAGTCAACTGACCGGAGCAAGTAGTTAGCAACGGAGGAAGGTGAGAGAGATATGAGCGAGGCTTACAGTATTGCTCCACGAGCAGTGTCGGGTCGTTCCAGTTGCTAATGGCCATAGGGAAGTCGATGGAGCAAAAAGGGAGGCGCTTTGCAGAGGCGACCTACATCCACTCATAAGTACCTTTCGCGAAGGCCATGCCCGATACGTGAGATTCGTCCCACCGAGCGCTGGAGTGATCGGAGTGTACCTAACCTAAAAAACATCGAGATGCGCGCTGGCGTGTCCATTGCGATGGCGCCGACGTGAGCCTCTCGACGAACAGAGATGGATCTTCTCACTCGAAATGCATCTTGATGCAAGAAGTAAGGCTATTCGACCCCTGCCATTCGGTTAGAGCGAGCGATGGACACGTCTCCAATTGGCTTGACTGGCATGGGTAAGAGTGACTGAGGGTGAAATATACAGTGCTCGTGTCGTAGGGCTGCGGCAACAAGGAAGGTCGTCCTGACCTTCGAGGCAGTATCTCACTATGTGCACGAAACAGATGGTGGGACGCCAAAACGCCCGCACTAGATGCGCCATGACCGATGCACAACCCTCGCTGGCGCAGATCGCTGATATACTGCATCCAGAAATACATGTGCCGCCAGGGCCTATATGGAGTAAAGTTGCAACTTTATATAGCCTCGCGATAGCCGAATCGAGAGGTGACCCACAAATCGGGTAACGTTTCACCTGCCAATGTCCGCGACATCCAGGCCTCGATAGCGACCTGCATACAGAACCCAGCCATCCCGTGCGTGGTGATGTGGGTGGCGGCTAACGCATCCTCGGATGGGTCTGTTACGGTGATCGATCGAGCGCCGGTCAGAGCTTCAGAGGAGGGAGGTTGAGATAGAGTTCAACCACTGAGGAACATGCGGGGTGGCAGCTGTGGGGGGATGGATATGAACAAGTAATGCCACATGCGCCATCATACCATTGCGCGCATTGAGGTCTGTGCACAGTACCCAGAGCTATTATAACAAGGGGTTCCGGGAGTAGTCGCAAATTCAGCTTTCGTTGACAGTCGGTGGCAAGCGTCGTTGGCACATTCCCGACGTCGGCGCGGCGGCCTCGGGCCGAGCCCGCCGTGATGCCGATTCGCTCCGTTCGATACTGCTTGGAGCCATATTTCTTCCCAGGCCCCGCTGCATGTCTTCGGTACGAAACAGGCTGGTACAAAGTGTTATGCACAAGGTAGACGCATGCCTCCACTCAGCGAAAAACGAAATTGGCTTATGTGGTCACTGGAGTCTGGAGACGCGGCGGCCCCGCGCGAGCAGGCGCGGGCAACGCCAGGGCAACGCCCAATTTCACTTGATCTTGAACCACAGCTTTGACTCAGTGGGAACGGAAAAATAGTCTCATTTTACTCGAATGTAAATGCTTTAGATACGTATGCGAGGTCGTCTCTCAAAGTCGCACATTGTCGGTACCAGGCCAAGGGCGGGGGCGTTTGGCATCCTCCGCCGACTCGGCTTCAGATTCAAGAATCCATCTGCTCGGACTGCATGTTGTGAGGGAATCTTTCAGCACGCTACGTACTATGTAAGTCTCTCGAACGGCGACTGATTCTTGTGCGTGAACTCACAAATTCCCGTCACGTTGATTGTGTTGCTACAGTTGAATTGAGCGGTGTCTCCCGGCGGCACAGTCACATCGAAGTTTATGAACGTCAGATTCTCGCAAGGGCTGGTGGGACTGCAGTCAAGGTTGACAACTAGATAGAGATATACGGGTCAGCTGTGGGAGTTATAGCGACACGCTGCGACGACGCACGCGTAGGGCTCGACGAGCTTCCGGACCAGTTCTCCCAGGTGAGATTGCTGATCTTCATCTTCGACGGGATGTCCGAGCTATTCCCCTCCCACAACTGGTCAATAGATGTCGTAGTACCGACACCATCCATGGTGAAATTGATGAATCGGGCGTTTGAGACAAACCCTACAGAGAGCGCCGGGTTTCAGTACAACCATCATTGATAGTACGAAAGCGCGTACCGCTGCCGCCGCCGCCGCTTATTGGCGGGACACCTTCCACAGTGCCAACCCATGTCTTTAGATATACGCCGATGCCCCTCGAGGGCTCGAAAGATGCGTTGATATGCGTGGACTACACCTGCCCATTAGTTCTGCTTACGGACATCTGGACCGGGCCGGGTGAGATGGCTTACGAAGACGTTGCTGATGGTGACGTTGTCGACGATGTCGGTCTATAGGGTATCTTTGAGCGGCTATGTAGAGATTGGTAGGACAGAAGACCTCACGAGATTTTCGTACTGACCAAGAGATCCAAAGGCAATACCACCTGCGCGGCAAGTGATCTAATGCTTCTCATCAGGATCTCATCGCGGCAAGGATGTAAGCAGAACCGACGTTATTCATGAAAAGGTTCGTGGTGTTCTGAAAGGGAGACGGGTGAGTACCCTTCAGGATACGCGGATATATTTAGCTCACACCCTTGATCGCGATGCAGTCGTCTCCGTTCGTGATCTGGATCCTGAAGGTAAGATCCGAGCTCGAGCGCGTTCGATGAGCAACCATACGTACATCCCAGTTCAGAAGTTGAACATTGGTGCTTCGGAACGTATCGATGCCATCCGTGTTCTGTACAATGCTGTTCGGAGAGTATTGTGAGCATCGGTGAATCCACGGAGAATCGGATACACGGACTTCCGCCCAAAGTACGTCGAGTTCGCGTTGGTCGCGTTACAGAGCATCCCGTCGTAGATGACACCGTCGGATTCTGCGACCGTGTTGCACCAGAAGGGCTGCTCATTGATAAGAAAGTCCTTGACAGTGCCGTTCTTTGCCCGGTATACCGTCAACGCGATGGGGCGCCCGTCTCCGTCATGGCGTGGGACGACCGCGAAGTGGTTCCACCAAGGTTGTCCATTCCCCATTATGCCGCCTATCGCGCATATCAGTGGGATACTGTTGTAAGAGAGGGTTCCTGTACAAGTACGAACCTTGGTTGTGTGCATCGATGATGAAGTCCGAGCCAGTCACCACAAACCAAGACGCTTGACTTTGGATGAATACGACGCGATACGTGCTGTTCTCTTCAAGCCAATAGTCGATGTCCGGGACGAACTACGACAGTCTCCAGCTCGGCCGCGATCAAACAGACGGAAGACTGACGCTAAGATACCCAAACATGTCAACCTTGCTGCGTGTCAAGTTCCAGGTCATCTTCCTACGCAGATGGTCAAGATTTAGGGTAACATGGTATCACGAAAGGTTGCGCACCGAGTAATGTTGAACTCGCCTTTGTTGAGAGTGATTGTCCCATCCGTGCCGCACACATCGATCGCGGTCAGAATCTAAAGGGAGCGTCAATCAGCATGCTACTACTCTTGAAGGCACGGACTCACTTGTCCGGTGTCATCCAGGCCGTCTCCCAAGGGGTTCAATACGCAGTCGGCCGCGAGTGCGTAGCCGACAAGCGGTAGTATGCCGAGTATAGCGGTCAACGATCTCATGGACATGTATCATGGGGCGGGCAGGTCGTCTCGACTCTCGAGCTTTCTGAGAAGTCTTATAGCGATGCGCATTCCTGGTCTTAATAGACTTGTGCAGAGAAGAACGATGTCATGAGCCTAGCACCTGATCGTATTGACGGGACGAGAGGCTCGGACGCGCCGGGAGGAAGGTGGTGCTCTTGTCAGGCGGCATATACGTATATGTGTGGCGATCCTTACATGGAACGAAGTCCTTCTCAACAGGAGTTCAGAAGCATTGGACGTCAAGTAAGGTTGAAACGTGCGCGTGTTGTCGAAAAGGTGGCGCACTCATTGTCGCAGTAACCCTAGAGTATTCTTTGTCTGTTGCTTTGATGGTTCGCGAAGCTGTCGTCGGGTAATAGCTCACGGGTCGCGGATAGTGTGCAGGTGCGACGTCGGATATGGTCCTGAGTCTAAGCGAAAATATCGACGCTGAGAGCGGACGGCGTTCTGTACCGCGCACACCTTGTTTTCGAGGGCCCCACGGCACAGCGGCGCATTATCCGCATGCCGAGGTACGGACATCGTGAAAGAAGGACGCCGTAAGCAGTGTGCATGGCGCCGATATATTAAACGGGCCTATCACGGGAAGAGGGCTCATTACAGGATGTCGTTCGGTACAAGGCGCAGGGAAAGGGATCAGAATGGCTTTGTGACGCAGCCCATGTTGTAGGGAACATCCGGAGGTGATGTAACACGTCGTCACTGCTAGCAGCCTAAGAATGTAGTATGGTATAAGTAAGCGCCTCAGGACATGTAATAGGATTGCGCACCAAGGTTGAGCGCCTTCCTTATGCGTGTCATGATAGACCATATGCCTCAGCCAAAGTCGACAACAGACCTGCGGCTCGAAACCAGCATAGGCTACGTCACTTGCATATCTGGTGCGTTGACTGCTTAGTTGGATGCTCCCCCTCTTTCTGTCATTCTGACGCCCGGAAGCCTTCCGCGGCAACAACTTCTGGAAGCACAGCTAATCTGACAATGTGAGCGCGAAGCCGATAAGCTACACTTGGACATGCGCACCGAGGATGCCACAAGTTTATGGCCGTCAAAGTAGGGATTCTTGTCTGTCCCCATGAAGGCGGGCCACTGGCACCTCCCACAAGTTATCCTTCGCAGCTCTCAATGTTGTTCTGCCTGTCGTCCGTCCGTTGATGCCGTTTACTTCGAATGGCATGTGGTGGGGAACGCGTCGGTCGTAGATCACGCGTAGACATATTCGCAGCCAGTACAAGCCAGATGAAGCACGACAGGTGCAAGGGCGCTATGGGCAGGTGGCGCTTCGCGTGAGGGACGATGATGGTGGTGATGGTGGTGGCAGGATGTGACTGTGTTCTGTGCATGCTTGTGCAAGTTCTGCGTCTGGAGACTCGGCAATGCGCAGCGGGCATCCCCACGCCTCTGCTCAGATCTGCTCTTTCATTGTCGCCGGTCACTTGTCTCTGGATGCGAGTCTCTCCATGGCGTCTACCTCTGCTCCTACAGGTACGTTGCACATACATTTGTCTCAATGACGCTGTTGAGCTCACCAGTACTTCACAGAGTCGCTTCCGCGCCCCGCAAATGGTCAGTGGTCGTCCCACGATCGCACAGTGTCTATCAGTCTGACAACCCACAAAGGAACGACGTTCGTCGACCCTAAGGATAGATTCTGGCACATGTACCTTCAAGAAGCGCAGGTACAAGATAAGCAAAGGACCGATCGTTGGAAAGGGGACGCCGACGGCATTCTAATCTTCGTGCGTCTCCGTTGCTCAACGTGTACTGATATGCGCTGATACCGGAAAACCTCTATGCTCACAGACGGGTCTGTTTGCTGCCACCGTCGCGACATTCGTCGTTCAAACATACCCTAGTCTCTCCCCCGATACTGGAGCAGAGACCGTCGCTATCCTTCAGCACGTCGCAGCCCTTCTCGCGAACCAAAGCCAACCGGCTGCTGCATCTTCCTCGTCCGCGCCCTCAATTCCCATCTGGTCTGGCCCCGCGCCATCCGATGTCCGCGTGAATGCTCTCTGGTTTCTGTCATTGATCGTGTCTATCATCGGTGCCCTACTCGCCACGTTGGTCCAGCAATGGTCCCGTCAATATACCCAGGATATACAACGGCGCGGCTCTCCCGCATCTCGAGGGCCTATACGGCTCTTGCTGTCTTCCGGAATCGATGATTTTCACATGGACGATGCTCTCGGGTTCATTACATCACTTATCCACGTTGCGGTTGCCCTTTTCTTCTCCGGTCTTTTGGTCTTCCTGTATGCCTTGGACGATGTTGTGGCTTGGTTGGCCATGGGAGCTCTCGCTTTAGCATCGTTATGCTACTTATCTCTCAGCGTCCTACCTCTCATCTATCCGACGTCGCCTTATCAAACACCTCTCACCTCTCCTCTGAGGTTCGCGGCAATGGGATTTGCTGTACTATCCACTGCGCTTGCGTTGCTTGCAACGAGGCTTGTGTTGGCCGTTCAAACCCTATCACACCCGGCCCTTATGAACGCTGCAGATCAGTTCGGTGGTCTTCAACGCCGCGATTCTATGGCCATGGCCCTTAGCAATACCTTTCAGATCACCTTGACAAAGCGCCTCCAACGTATGACCCGCGGGCGCGTGTCTCTTATGCAGGAATCGGCCAGGAGTCTAGGGACAAAGAGCATATGCCAAGCGATTGACGTGCTGTGGCAGCAGATCGACGAGCCTCGAGAGATCGCGGATTTCTGCGAAACCATACAACATTTCATCACCCAGCCCGAGCTCAGAGAAACGGATCAAGAAGAGCTGACTAGCTTCCTACTTCTTGAGATAAACATCCTGACGCGGGTGTGCGGTTTGGTGTCGTCATTGACACCTGCACCGGGCAGGACATCCAACGAGGCAGAAACCAATCGCAGATTGGCGACCAGTGTCCGTCTGTCGGTTTCCCTTGTACGGCGGCACTTGGAAAGCGGCCAGCACGATGGCAACGTGTTACAGGCTTTCATAGCCTTACATGCGACCCTCATCACCCTTGTCCCCGAGGAACTACGCCACCATTGCCATGTTTCAACCTTCTACCTGGTTCGATTCCTCCTGCACGAGATGATGCCGGAGGTCAAGGCAACTATCACGATGCTGAAATCTGCGACCGTTCTGCGGCGATTGGACATCCCGGAGACTTTCCTCCAAGAGATAGACTACCCCTGCCACACGTACCTTGAGCAGCCCGACCTTCGCCCGATGTACGGGTCTGCGACGCCGAAGACCCGCTTCTTAGATGCAGATGACTACAAATTGATATTTGAGCTCAAAACGGCCAGAGCTTGGGATTGCGATCATTGTCGGCTCACGCTGCTGCTCGTTGATATCATGCAGAGCAGTACGGACGCGCGACCTCTGTTCGCGGACTATCACAGCATGATTATTCCGCTGTTGCAACTGCTCGATGAAAATGCTAAGCGTGCGATCGCGCGCAATGAAGACGACTCCCATCGAGAGCACCCTGCCTACTATCTGTTCGTCGAGTTACTTAGCAATATGAGCTTTGACCACGCCGCCAACACCCCAATAAAAGCTTTCACAGTGAACGACCCGGAAACACGTAGTGGTCCGAACGCATATGCTGCGCTCAGCTTCTACCTGGACTGGTTCAAGCTGTCTCCGAGTCACCGGGTGGTCGAGCGCATCTTCGATGCATTGATCGAGCGACTTGCGCATAGCAAGGTGGCCGAATTGTCTATGGACCACATCCAACGAAAGCTCGGCTACCGTTCGACGCCAGCTAATTGGGAGATGAAGCGCGCTCGGGGGCGTATATGGTTCAAGAACGCGATCACGCACAAAACGACGGACACGGACATACGCATTCGACCAGATCCAGGAGAACGAGGTACGTGACCTGCCGGACTGAATGGCGGGACCTCGTCTGACATGCACTATAGATGAGTATGGCGGAGAGAAGGCTTCGTTGCTCGATCACGATGGTTCTACTCGTTCGTCCAGTTAGTACATTTTCCATAGTCATGATGCAGTCATACTAATCAGACTGCAGTCTACGACGATATCAAAGAGTACGATGTGGGATCGGCCGTGGATGCCCCAGATTTTCCCCAACCCCAACATGGGTAGTTGACTGAGAGCGTGTCTCGAAGTAGTAATGCGGCTGGTGAGCATTCGAGCAACCACCACATGCGAGTGGGCGTATCCTAACGCCGCCAAAGTCACAGCCTGTCGCCAGCACCAATGATATCGGACGACACTGTGTCAAGCAAGGCGTCCTCGAAGCATGATTATGAAGGAAAGATCGTACGAGACTTGGCGAGATTAGCCCGAGTGGAGATGGGGAAGTGCATATAGCAGGCGGTGGATATTTGCTGGAGGATGGTATCGATATCAGGATTTGATGAGTCATTAGTATATGTTTATAACGAATATTTCATGATCGAACGCAATTGGAACACGTAGTATGATGGTAGCCGGGCTGGGCCCAAAACGTCGCGGGACCGGATAAGTCCATGATTGTCTTGCTCTTGGGCACAGTAACGTCTGCACAGCAGTGTCCGGGCAACCTGGGACCGTGTTCACCTTGACCCGTCCGAATGCAAGTTCGCGATTGAAGGATAACGTCGGGAAGCACGGTCTGCGATAACGAAGAAAGGTATCATATGGAAGGGAATGGTCCATGCGTGCCAAAGTGAAAGACGAGTCAGTACGATACAACAGAACAACGCGAACGAGCGAGTGGGTGAGTGTAGGACGTGAGGGGCAAAGGACATGTAGCTGCGGCGGTCCATGATATAATGATGTCCGGCCCAACGTCCCGTGTACCATGCGGGTGCGGTGCACCGGAAGAATGAGAAGCCCAGAAGCCCCGCCGTGAGTGTATGTGTATGTGCGGGGGTAGATGGGGAGACGGGGAGACCGCTCATGCAAAGAGGGCTGCAGCGCCGCCTACTGCACCGAATAGTGCTGCTGCGAGGACCGGCAACATTCCGGGCAGCGCACTGTGTACAGCGGCTGATGTGTCTGATTGGGCGGTGGAAGCCGAGCCGTAGCCTACTTGTGTCGCGGTGCCAATGACACTCAACCAGGCGCTGTAGTCGAGGATCGTGCCCGTTGTGGGACTAACGCCGTTGTACGGTGTCGCTGCTGCCGCCGCTGTAGTTGTGGTAGTCTGCCGATAAGTCAGCTCCTTGTGTGGGGTCAATTAGACGGAAATATTTACTGTGGAAGTTGCGAGAGGATCTGCCGCGGTGGTGGTGGTCGAGGTAGTCGTCGAGGTAGTAGTCGAAGTTGTCAGATCATCCAGGTCCGTAGTAGAGGTTGAAGTCGTCGTTGCAGCGATAGTCTCCCTACTTCGGGTGAGCGTCGATCCAGGCAACCCCAGAATAATACCACGCACAAGATCACCGTAGTCTCCACACCAAGTAACGGGTCGACCGTCTCAAACCCAACGATGACATCTCCCTCACTATTTCGCACAAAAATGAACGTTAAACGGAAGTATCAGCGCGTGCGAGACAGTCCACTCAACTCGTCGGCGAATGATACCGTCTGGCCGTACACGACGGTGCTAAGCACCGCAGCGGCAGACAAGACTAATGACGCCGCACGCATAGTGAAGGTGTAGAGAGGGAGTAGGAAGCGGAAATCAGTGGTCGCTGTTCGGGACGACGAGCAGACAGGCCACACTGCCGCGGTTTGACGGCGTGCCTCACCGTTGACGTCTCGAACCGCCGGCCACGCGGGCCGCGATCTCTATTTCTGGATGACGGGTTGCTGATGGCTATGAACGCGTTCTCTGCTCGTCTTCCCTGGCCTTCCTGGTACACCGACAGTGGGATGGACTCAGTACAGCTACCAATGGAGCTTCGATAGTCTTGCGGAGTTGAGGGCTGCGGAGAAAAATATGCGATACACCGGAAGCACTGCGCACACGCACGGTGTCAAACGCGTTACATACGAGGGCGCTTAAATTCGGCATCTTCCGTAGTAGCATAACACATCCGCGTACTAGTAAGGCTACACTGAGAACGAGTGACAGTCGAGTCGAATACAGTGCCAACACGATGCGCATTCACACCGTGTATACACGCGCGAGAACGAGAAACATGAGCATTTCCAGAACATATCCGAGGAGCGACGAGAGCGACAAACTCGGCGAGCCACGCCGGCACCGGCGAGCGAGAACGAGCGACAGACTAAGCAGACAGACACAGATCGCGGACATGGACGTGGACATGGACATGGACAAACATACGCCTCCCTTCTCTCCCTCCCTCACACCAACCCTCGCACCAACCGCGCAAAGTAACATGCAAACCGCCCGACAGAATTTGGAACCCCTCTCGTCCCCAACGAACGCACCCCGCCCCCGCGTCCAGCCCTCTCCTGATCATCCACGAAGTAGTTCATACGAGCACGGCAGGAGCGCGCGTCAGCCCCGACCATCCCGCTCAGGCGTGCCCCATCTGAGGCGGCGCCTGCTGTGGCGGACCGGGCGGCGGGCCCTGGTCGTACCCGTGGGGTGGAGGCGGCGGCTGCATGCCGGGCGGCATCACCATCTGGTAGGGCATCGCGTGCTGGACTATGGAACGCGGATCGGGTTAGCATGTGCACGTATCTGTAGGCGAAGGGGAGAAAGACGTACGCTGTGGGCTCTGGTGATAGTACGGATGCGCGTGCGCCGGGATCGGCGTAGGCGGCATACTCGGGCGTCCAGGGCCACCGTTAGGCGGCGGCGGGTACTGCCCAGGCGGCGGCTGCATGTATGCGCCGGGAGCTACAGTAGAACCCGTCAGCACATCCTTTCCTCCACACCATTCACGAGAAAAGCACGTACGCGGCATCGTCCCCATCTGCGGACTAGCATACATATTCGGCGGCGGGACACCCATCGCACCAGGGTACGGCATAGGCTGCATATACGGCCCAGGATACATCACACCCGGCGGAGGCGGCATACCAGGCATCATCGGCTG